GAATGCAATTCGATCGACTGTGGAATGTGGGGAACTTGTGTCAAAACAGGATGTCAGGATAATTGCAAATGCACATCTGGGTTTACAGGAAGTTTGTGCGATAAGCGTAAGATATTATTATGCACTTTTCTGTGAATCTAATTAATTGATTAAGATATCAAAAATTGGCACCAATTAAATGCAACTTCTGTGTTCTGTACTTGTATTTTTGATTATTCACAACAAATGCATTGACTTGTCGGACACGCGAATTTCTGGAGACGATATACTTGTATATTATCAGACTCGTTTATTTTAACACATGAGTGCTAATTATTTTACTATTCTGTTTTCATTTCGGTAATTATTAGATTCACTTGACTTTGTTGATATTTTATATTTAGAGTTAATTGAGCTGAATGCAACAACAAAAACTTTTACAATCTACAAAAATGAAAGTTTTACTGTAAATCTGATGCTAAAAAGTGAAGACGGATCCGTGAAAATTCGGGTGTACAAAAATAATAACTTTACACATCTCGTTACAAGCAAAGGCGGTGTGACTTACTCAACTAACATTAAAATTGGCCCGATTGACGAAGCAAGCACTGGAACAAACTATACGTTTTACGCAAGTCCTGAATCTGATATTAACGCATACAACTTTTCAACTTCCGTTCGTGTTATAGTTGAAGGTGAAGTAATCGTTACACATATTTGTAAAATACCCTACTACCATTAATACGCAAAACATGTTGAAGGAACTAAACTGATATTTATCGAAAATGATGTACCCACAATTAACTCGACCTCGAAGTCTTTCACAGTTACGTTATATTAAAATACCGTATATATAGTATTATAATTTTAAATGTTGTCTGTAAATCTTCGCATATCAGTGGTTAAAATGGCACAACTGGGATCCTTCGTTTGGGCGCTAGCTGACGACTGGGTTGCCCGTAATTTTACTCCCTTGGTCCTAACGCATTCCCAAAAATCACGGTGGTCAAAATTCCCTTATTATTTTGTGTAACCCTTTATTTATTGTTTAGAATCTACTTCAATACTTTCTGTTGTACCAAAGGTTATCGTAATACCAATAAAGCAACAAATGCACACAGTGAAGTGTCTTGCTATAGGTGTCCCAATTCCACATGTTGAATGGTTCAAACAAAATGAGTCAGTAACAAGACGAACTGGCAATCATGCCTATCAAAACATTGGTCCGGGATACGCAATTCTGCATGCCGATCAAGCAACAAGCAGTGATGTTGGGTTATACACCTGTGTAGCAACAAATATCATACAACAACGAATATCATCTTCGAATGATACAGCAGTTATAAGAGGTTAGACTGTAATTTTTTCCTGTATAGTACATAACAATATATAATTGAAATTGCATTGTCTTATAATTGCATAACATACCAATAACGATAATACGCGTATCAATTTTGGAATCACGCCAAATTCTAAATTGTATGTGCAGGACAACAAGAATTCTAACAACAACAACAAAACATATTTTTTTTAAATGATTGATTTTATTATGAAAATCATTTCAGGAAGTATATTGGTGAAAGTTTTAATGACACGGACCAGGAGTAGAGAATATACTAAAAATAATTGCGTCCATATAGCTGAGACAGCAAGGAAGCGCATAAAATCGAAACGCGTGAAAATAAAAATTGCATGATCACAAGAGTATATATATTCATATTATTATTCTTAGTTCAAATGTTACTCGTCACTTGGTTTAGCGGTTGCGGAAAATTGGTATGTCACTTAAGACTGAGTAATGATTCAACACGATTTTAATATTATTTTCAGGAAAAATCAAATTGGTAAATTCAGTGATTTCGAAAACGGCCACAGGACTTCTGACGTTGTCTTGTGAATATCAAGGATATCCAATGCCGAATATTATTTGGAGATGGCACAAAGAAAATATGGTTCATACAATTGCAAGTAAAAATGTGTCAATCTTCAAGGAGTATAGCGTGACAGACAACTACGGGCCAGTTGTACCAAAAATGACGAGTTATTTGAACATCACGTTAGCTGAGTATCTCGGTCCGACTAATTTGTCGTGCTTGGCAAAAAATGCATTTGAAAGCTATATGGAAAATGAAAAGATGTTTTATTTGAATGAAAGTAAGTAACTATTGAATTGATAACTTGAAATCGATTCGTATTGCACTTCTAATTATATGTAAATAATTATCGATTTACTTTTATTTTCAGACTTAGTTCGCATTGGAGGTACGTCGTTTGAAATTTATGGGAAATATCACAATGAGAAAAAAAATTATACTAATGCTGAGGATCATTGTAAAGCTACCGGAAAAGCCCTTGCAATTATATTAGACAATAAAACTCAAATTGCACTTAAATCAAAAGCTGAGCAACAAAGCTTGGGAATTTTTCGTAAGAATATGCCAAAACTTATCCACGTTTTACAGAAAGATAAAAGGCAACAACATGTAATGATTTGCAAAGATACCTCTATTAATTAATTGCCTAAGTAAACTCTGTTGCTTACAAAGTATCTATCTATACCAGTGGTACTCAAACTTTTTTAGTCCCAGAGCCGCATTTCAAACCTCAAAGTTATGAAGAGCCGCACACAAATAACGCAAGGTAAAATAGCAACAAACCTTGAACGCGTATTTAAAATACCAAGCCAACGTAACAACAACACACGTAACAACTAGGGCTGGGCAAAATATTCGAATGATAAAATAATCGAATGGCATTTTAATATTTGAATTTCCCAACGGGGCTCGCTATCAGAAAAAAAAGACAAATTTGAAAACGTCTATGTCTTTGCGTTATGATTTCATATGCTTATATTTGCACTTAACGTATCGTTTCAATTCCAATATTTTGCAAAAAAAACGTACCAACCGTTCCGTAAATTTAGAAACGTCAAACCAGATTAGGTATTTAAAATAAATTTCCCAGCTTTTAAACTCCGCATGCTTGGTGACATTAGCCATTTCTTGCATTACCAAACATAAAGTTGATTAAAATTAAATGTTAAAATTACGTTTCGGCGTTTCATTGTTAAAAAGGCGATTTTAGGTCGTTAGAAAACTCTAGTTATATAAATAGCATGGATTCAAAAACTACCAATAATTATTCCAAAAGCTGGTATGAGTTACTTGTATGAAAAACTCTGATTAAGTAACCAGATAAGAAATGTCACGTCCTAGTCCCTTTAGTGATCCCTTCCATCCTTGGCCAAGTAATGTTTCAAATATGTGAATATTTTACTCGACCATGCATGGCCGTTGAGCCAAGAGTAGAACGTAAAACCAATCGTGAATTTCGTTGTAACAATGCACACTGACTCGTGCACGAATTGTTGCGTCTATTATCATCGAAAATGATTACAATAGTTAAATTTTGAAGCATTTAGGCATGACATATTCAAAATCATTAAGTGAAGGGGTGAATTTGAAAATTAAGTAATGAAAATTGAGCATCACTCAGTAAGTATTTTAGCTATAATAACCATCGGGGTGTTGCTTTGTTGAAAAAAAGTTAAAACTTGAAGGAATTAGTTATAATCAGCGTCTGACCCCCTATTAGACACAAAGGCCTAGAAATGGATTTATAGCCAATTTATTTAATCGCTATTTTAAATCAACATTCAGGATTCACGCAATTGTTAATTTGCTAGGTTTAACTATCTAATACTAAAATAACACGAACATCATAGAAAAGCATGAGAAACTCAATTATCATTTTATTAAATATCTGCATCTCGGTTAGTTTTCACTACTTTAAACGGGCAAGGTTAATTTACAAGCGGTGATAAGGAAGATCAAATCCAAGGCAGAGGATAATACTCCGAATAAAATTAATTTGGTTTTGAAATCAGCCCTTAATGTATTCAACAGCTGTCGCTGATGTGAACGCAAGGGTATACTAGAAATATGAAACTGCGATATCCGGCGACCCCTCATTCTTGCCAAAAACGAGAAAGGGCGGGAACTTTAGGGTATCGCCGCCGAAAAGATCGCGGTGACAAAGACAATCAGCGATTATGATAGACCTAACCAGTAAAAAAACGCTTTATTGACGACTTATCGATGTTTTTATTAATTTCCAAATGGAGTATCGACCTTCGACGTTATGGATCCCTGTTATGTATAAAAAATAATCATTATTCGATTATTCGGTATTCGTTGAAAATATTCAAATTATTCGATTCGAAGAAAGATTCTATTTTTGATTATTGAGTTATTCGATTTATACATAATATTCGGAAATGGGACAAAAACTGAATCCTCCACGGAAGCAAGCCCAAGATTACAGCCACGTCTAAAATCTTTCCAAGTGAAAAGTGCCCGAGTGACCGCGAAAACGCTTACTGTTGCGTCACTATTGCATCTTGTAGATTAGTCAACGCTACGCAAATAAACACAGGGGAATCCATTCGACTAACTAATAGACTTCCGCATTTTAATTTCAAGTCAATGATTAGTTTTCAATGAACAATTTTCTTTGAAAGTGATTAATTTTTAGTATAAACAAGAGCCGCAGGAAAGGTTGTTGGGAGCCGCATGCGGCTCTCAAACCCTAGTTTGAGAATCACTGATCTATACCAACGGTGGGCAAAACGCGGTTCGCCGGAGTTTTTATGCGGCTCTTCTCGCTGGCATTCATTATATATTATCCAAATTTTTAACTAAGAGAAACTGTAGCGTAACAGTTTTTTTACTTACTTTGCAATATTGTTATTATACATATATTTGTTCATTTCAATTCACAGTATTCTAATATTATTAATTTCAAAAATTATGCGGCTATCACATTATTCTTACTCCGCTGCATGCGGCTTTTATACTAAAAAATTTTGCACACCTAGCTTCTAGATTTAGCAAGTAGGACTTGTTGCAAATTATTAATTCCTGAAAATCTTCTTATATAACTACTGATTGAGATTCAGAAAAATTTCGTCGGTTTAGTACTTTTTATTATAAAATCTAGTGTATGTTGGTGGAAGAAAAAAAATGTCAAGTGGTCTAGAAATATGGAAATGGAACGACGGATCATTTTTCTATAATGAGACCAAATACGGAAAGTATGTATATATTTCGTCAATGTATCTTTATTAGGACCATAAAATAAATGCAAGTGATGGTTTTAATGTGAATGGTCTTTCCAAAAGCTCGTTTACCATTTTCCGAACAAATATTCACTCAATTGCGCAAACAAGGTTAACCATTTACGTAGATCTCAAAATCGAAATTGTCTTTATATTTAAAAACTAAACTTAAAGACTCTATCGGTTGAAATAATCAAACGCGCTGAGTATACAATGCAATAACAGCAATAGCACACCGTGGCTTTTTCTTGTTCTTAATTTAAAGATTTATTACAGTTCCTAAGTACCGTGATCATGAACGCGCAGTTACTTATCTACTCGTATGGGATGGTTTCCTTTGTAGTTAGTTCCGATGACCTTTCGATGAGAATATCAGATAAAACTTTATTTATAAGCTCGCCTTTACGAACTTTATACATTTTAAAATCTTGAAACAGTTGGAAATTTAATTACGAAGCTGTTGTGGATGGTAGGTATCTTGCTTGGGGGTATGGAAGACCAGATTCCAATCAGAATTGTTTGGTGATGAGTGGAAGTCTTCAATGGCGTTGGGAAGACGGTGATTGTGCTTCATTCAGAGGTTACATTTGCCAAGGACAGTGTGAGAAACCTTATTATTGATAGATTTTATGAATAAGAATTGAAACATATCGTAATTAGAATTATTGTTGCGGACACATATTTTCGAAACATTATTGAAGAATAATGTACTTTATCTGATTATTTATGATTTCCGCTACATTATGCTAAATTGATTTGTATTGTTATAGTAGCAGGCATCCCAATGATCTTCGATGTAAACGTGGTCGAATGTAGTTCAAATATTTCAATAAAATGGACTCCATCATCAAATGCACTTGGAGTGACTCACAGGTGGGTCTATGTGTATCTCACAAAAATCTTTCTAATCATATTATTGTATCGATAATTAGTAACTCCATTTACCTATTTGCATAGATCGATTTCACGGTTATATTTATATAGATATAAATATATATAGATATAAATATTAACAAATGACCTACATAACGTGCGCTGAGTTGAAAATGGAATCACACCAAAACTATACCGACCGATAAAATCAATATTTCGTTGCAACATTTACTCAAATATTCTAAACTTTGTAGATATGGTTTTGGTTAATTTATTGTACCACCATAATTCTAATAACGTCACAGACTACAACTAGATCGTGAAATCCCGACAAAAATGGAAGAAATAAACATTACTGACATCGTACCAGAGATTCAAGACGTCAAGCACATAACATACCCAAATTTGAATTACTCTACTACCTACAGCGTCAGGGTGTGTAGCATATTATTTACTACTATTGTTGTCCTTTCTAAGTAAGTTTAATTTTGAAAAGCTTTGTGTTTTAGTGAATAATTATTTTTCTTTCATGCTTCAGTTGATTGTATGTCCCAAATTGTGCAAGTATCCATACATTATTTCAAAAACTGTAACTACTGATGCGACAATTCCTGAGCCCGTAAAAGAATTCAATATGACACACGTGAAAGAAAACAACACTTGCCTTATTCAATGGAAGATGGACAACGCTCGTGGCATTACGGAAATTTATGTATGTAGAAGATCCAGAGCATAGCCAGGAATTTAGCTCGGAGGCATAGTCAGAAATTTGTGAAGGGGGGGGGGGGGCAAAAATTTCTAATTGTCAAGATGGACCGTAATAGCTAGCGGGTCCAGGCGGAGGGCGAAAAATACACTTTGAGGGTAAAAATGCGTTTTCAAGCTACGAATAATTGCTATGACATAGAAAAGAGTTTCATTTAGAAATCACCCCATGGGTTAGGCTCTCATGTGACATACATACATTTTGTTTAAAAACAAATTCGTAAAATTTGATTCCAAAGGTTTAAACTTAACTTTCGTTTTGCCAATATGAATGATATTTTACTTATTGAGTCATTGGCATTATGTACTTCTAAATGATTTAACATTTTTCATTAGATATAATTACACTCTGTTGTCGATTTTTATATTATAGTTCAAAACTTACCTACAAATTTTACCTTCCTCAACAGCTGAAAGGAACATCATCCGTTGTCTACGCAGCATCTACAAAATCAACAACTCAACAAATTGTTCTAGATAAAAATATTTCAGTGGAGAAAAGTTTTTTCATTTTTTCCAATATGTCATTTAATCGAAACTACACATTCAGTATTTTTGCGCGGACATGTGCTGGTACTGGACCGGGTATATTTGCTATTGGAAATTGCAAGACAGAGAGAGCAGGTTTATGCAATTTAATATACCGTAATGCTTCAGTACAATCAATATCGGATTATAACTTTATTGATGGAAAATTAAATTTGCTTGACAAAGTGGCATTTTTTATAGTAACTGACTATAAGTATAATTGGTCTAACAGTCTTTGTATTTTAGCACCAGCTATAGTTCCCCTTCCGATTGTGACCACTGATTCTAGCGGTGATGGGACGGTTCCAATTAGAATCAATCTACCAGACGAAAGTAATGGACCTATCAGGTTATTTTAACAATATGCTTTGTAAAAAAAATGAACTCGTTAAAAGTTTTCAACTTATATACAAAACTACTTGCTACAAGATTCTGAACAAAATTGGACATGCTATCTAACTTGAGATACATATTCAATAAATCTAAAGTAACACCAATTAACTGTATGCATAAAATTTACAGTTGCATTTTTGTTATTGTCGTATTCAAACCTGAAAAAGCAAATTCTACGACATTTGAAAGCGCAGAAGACCTACAAAATATAAAGGGGAAAACTCTAAAGAATAATGAAGCTTTCATCGCTCTTGCCATTTCCAGGTAATTTTAAAATTGATTTCGTCCTTTATTTGGTTTTCACCCATCTTTTATGCCAATGACATTTCTGACATTATTTTTGTGTGCATATACGATATCAACAAACTTTTGCACTGAATATCTAAAAAAGCATTCTAATGTTATACTGAAGGTTTTAATGTATAATAATAAAAATAATTATTTACAATGAAATTTAATATTGCTGTAGTTCAGAGGCGTGCAACATTTTTTGTCGGCGGGCCATATTACCAATTTCGGACATCTAGCTGGGCCACACAAAATAATTAGCTTTTCCATGTACACCCCCGCTGTAAATCTTGCTTTATACGTATTCGAGATCGTTTTTTTTCTGTAATGTGAGGATATAATAATACCAATAAAACAGCATTATACTTCACGATAAAAATTCACGATAAAAAACGGCATTGCACCACCGTCAACAGGTGGTGATGTATCGTAGCCTGAACAAACGTATCACAGCTTATAGATCACATAAGCGTATCTGACGACAGTTATAAACTACTGTATTCACTATTAAAAAATCGATCGAGCATACTACGGTGTGAAAGCCTACAAAGCTATTATATCTTATTACAGAACAAGCATTTCGAACGAAATCGGAAGCACGATGTACATAACAAGATCATTGGGTGACGAAAGCACTTCCGATTGCAATATATATCTTGTAAACGAAGTAAATCGGATGAAACGAGAAGCTAATTTCGATGGAAACATTCAAGCAAATAACTTGAAATTGGAAAACGAAGCTGAGTACAGGTTCCTATTGTTCTTATTTAATCAGAATGCTTTGCTATGGATGACGTTAACTAAACACTATTAATTTCAGCTACTACGTTGTAACTTCAACACCAGAAGATGGAAATAAAACACTGATCAAATCGAGTGAAGTTTCCTATTTTACCAAAATTTCACCTCCGTCTCGTAAGTCTGAAAAAAATAATTTGTTAACATTTTGCCAAAGTATAAAGTTTAATATTTCGTATTTTACTTGCGTAAAGAAACTTTCTAACAAAACAATAATTTTTTTTGCAGCGACGCTTGTTATAATTATTATCATCGTCTGTGTTGTAATTGCTGGGTTTGTAATTAGCGGGATATATTGTTATAGAAGGCAAGTGATACTTGTTTTCAAGTCAACCAAACTTTTCCCATTGCGTCAGAGATTTAACAATACAAAAATTCCCGATACCACCACTTCTTTTCAAAATAAGGGAACATAGAGCAGAAAATGACATAACTAAATTGTAAGTGGATGCACAACAAATATCAGTCTAAAAAAGCTATCAAAACAAGTTAGTAAACCCCGAAAAAGCGTCAATTAAAATATTTGACGTCTTGTCATTCAGTGGTATGTATAAAAAGCCACAATCTTATCTATGGGACATATTTTTTAGTCCCATCACGTGGCAATTTATGCCTATTCCGTTGCATGGAACTTGGAAATTCTATGGCCGGTTCTCCTAAATAAATAAAAAAAGAGGCTATGATTATTCATCCCATATTCTTCCACATCATGAATGAAAAAATTAACCATATAAAGTGAAAATCCTGATAAAAAATTCACAAAAAAAGAAATAACAAATGCAGCTGCCAAATCACGTTGTCATGGTTAATAAAATATGTGCTGTTCCACGCCTTGGGACTTTCCCATGAATATAACAATTCCACGAGATACCATTTTGATTCTTTGTTAGAGTTATTGATGACGTATATTATGTAACTTTGCACAGGAAACTTGTTCGAAAGAAAATGTTAATAGATGACTTGAATATGCAAGAATTACAAGATAATGTGAATGATGGTAATTTTGATTTATGGCTACATGAGCGTTATTCAATTGTACTCTGCTGTTCTGAAGGCTTAGATTTTCAGTTATGAGGTTTACAAACAAATTAATTAAGAGATTTGTGCAATTACATAACTTAAACTGCATAACAAATGTATTTCCCTTTCTTAGACCCATTGTACGCAAATATAGCAGTGGATAAAATGAAACCGAGGTCACCTTACGATATTCCACTGGAGCAACTTTTTGAAAGGTACAATCGTTTAAATGAAAAAGACGGTGCTAAATTCAAAGGGGAGTTTCAGGTAATTTATATAATATATAGAAATGCAAAGATTATTTTATAAGTTCAAATTTGACTGCATTCACTTGATACAGAATCTCAAATCAGACGCAAAAGGACTGAATTATCCCACAACCATCGCTTCCTCTGAATCACTGAATGGCAAAAACAGATACAAGAATATTCTACCTTGTGAGTTTTTATGGATTTGAGATAGCAATTCTTAGAATTGGATGTACATAAAATGAGAATGGACAAGCCTCATATAAAATAGAAAATGTGCTTCCCCGAGCAATGTTTTCTGAGATCATATATATATATAGTATTGCAGAATGAAACTTAGTATTGTAGAATTGTATAAAAATGAGAGAAAAAACGAAATAGATTATGAAGTCTTGTCAATTTATAAAGAAATGTTTTTTTTAACAGGTGATTTATCGCGTGTGCTGCTTGATGGTGAAGGAAATATGAGCTACATTAACGCTTGCTACATTAACGTAAGTAGTACTCATTGAATATTGCAACGTGTAGTCTTTTGAAGAAAGTCGTTTAAATAAAAACTGTTTTAATTTAATTTGTTTTCAAGGGATTCTGTAAAGCAAAGAAGTTCATTGCTACACAAGGACCGTTGCCAAGTACAGTAAACGATTTTTGGAGAATGATTGTTGAGCAGAAAGTATCCTGCATCGTCATGTTAACGAAATTTGTGGAAAATGGCAAGGTAACAAAGATTACTACTTGATAGAGCAAGTAAACGTGTCTGGGTCCTTTTACGTGAATTCAAACAAGGCAAAAATGCTTCAGATTTAACGATGCACAAAGTATTTGAGATGTTTGAAGAGAAAGGTCCTTTAGTCCCTTTGACGTGAGTCCACCAAAATTTAATATTCCATATTAAATCACATCAAAATATGTGAGTTGATTGAGTTCCAAAGCCGTGAAATAAACGAAAAATAAAATAAATATTTATTAATAAATGAACACTTCATTACAGAAAAAGTGTGAGAAATACTGGCCTTCTCAAGGTTCGCCTAAACAATTTGGAGATGTATATGTTGAAAATAGAGACGAAATATTCACGGGTTGTTACAAAATGTTTACACTAACAATCACAAAAAAGGACGAACAGGTGATTAATCAATATCATAATATTTTAATGCTGTGTTATAATGCTCGAACATTTGATACAAATTCCGATTAACACGATATTTATCTATGAAATAGGCCGATGGATTAGCTCCAAATGTACAAAAAGAGGAGCAAATTGCTTCCCGAACAGCAAATGCCACTAAACTTAATTTGTAAAGTTCATAACAATCCTACTCACCCAATTTTGTTTATTTGCAATAATCTAATTCTGTCACATAGAAAGAATGTTAGAAGTAGAATGTCTTTTTTATGTTTTTCAAAACTTTTTGTAGAATATATATAATGAATAAATATAATTAAAATAATATGATTTGTTTAGCTCATTCATCAATTTATTTTACAGGGTATAAAGGTGATTTTACTCCAATACCTTAATTGGCCTGACTATGGAGTACCAGTTACAACAACAAATTTAATGAGATTTCATGGAATTGTTAAAAAACACCAATCAAATGCACCAATAGTTGTTCATTGCAGGTGAAATAGCCAAAGTTTCATACAACGCGTATTCACGCTTTTCACTCAAACAAAATCTCGAACAAACAGCAATCAATGATATCTATCGCTGTGTAAGCTACTATTATTGGAAGAACTGACAGCTTTCCAATATGGCATTGCGCCTGTCCGATTTATGGAACTCTGATGTTCTGGCGTGCACATGTTTTGCATCTGGATAATCAAACAAAGCGGTTAAACCTTCAAATAAAAATGTTCATTGAGAGCATTGTTTTCTAACCTAATTAGGTATGACATGTGTTGACAATAGTTATAATTATAAATAGGTTGTAAATATTAACGTTAACAATTTCAGTGCTGGAGCGGGAAGAACTGGCGCATTTATAGCATTAGATTTTTTGCTTCAAGAGAGTGAATCACTTCGATCAGTTGATGTTTACAATTGCATTTTGAAGCTGAGAGAGCAGAGAGTAGATATGGTTCAAACATGTGTAAGTGTATAATTAAATAAAATACTGGGTAATCCACGTCATACAATTCTGAGAACTTTCGTTATGTGTAATGGAAATAAACAATGGGAAACTTCATTTAAAACCTACAAATTCCCCCACCAACGACTCGAAATCAACTTATTAAATTAGTGTGGAAACTCTAATTCAGCGATGCTTTTTCTGTTTTATTTTGTGAAGGATGCTGGACTATGTCAAATTTTGATGTTTTTTTTACGGGGCAATGTCATGATGCATAAGCTTATCAATGACTTTGAACCAACTAATGAATTAGTGTGTAACTTCTAATCAAGCGATATTCTTTTGATTAAATATTTTAATTTGTGAAGGCTCCTTGATGATGTCTCATCACCTTTCAATCTATCAACCAATCATATTTTGAAATTTTTAGGATCAATATATCATGGTGCATAAGCTTATTTTGGAGAATTATTTGTTTGGAAAAACGGATATGGAATCGGAAAAATTCAATAGTGTTTTTACCAGGTAATGGGTTTTAAAAAAATGCTGATCAAATGAATGAAAATGGAAACAAAATGAAATTATGGAAATTAGAACTACAAAAATGATACTAAGTATAAGTATACAATATGATTCAGCATTCCAGCATTCGTCAAATTGCACTGTATAGGTAAATTTTCATAACTTAACATTCTTTTTAACTCTAGGTCAAATTCTGAAAAAAAATTGGTAACCATAGTTACTATCTGTCAATTAGCCATTTCATAGTTCCCAATTTTCAAATATTACAGAGTTTCTTTGGATATCGGTATATTACAAAAACAGTTCAACGATTTGGCCAAAGTTGGGCCAGTGAATAAGACAAAACAAGGGCAATTGGCGAAACAACCTGAGATGAACAGAAATAAGGAAGTGATACCTTGTAAGATCAATGATCGGACAAATAATATGCGGACAAATAATATCGGACATATGATATGCGCTTCTGAATTTATATTCGTTTTATTTCTATTTGTCTTTGATGAAAGTTTTAGACGGTATAAAAAAGTCTTAGAAGTCTTAGTTGTTTTGCTAGTATTAAGTTCGCTTTTATTTATATTCATAGCTTATACAATTTAGACAGATGACTATTATGTACAGAAAGAATTTCCTTAATAAGTCGGAATTTTTCAATAGGATTTCGCTCCGTCAAATAGTTTGAAAAGTACCGGTATACAAATTTGTTATCTCAATCTAACTAAACGTATTAATAAATGTTTTGAGACAAAGTTTCACGTTGCTAATATTTTAAAACATAAAACTCAACATTATTCGCAGTTTCACGAAACAACATTGTGATAGTCCGCAATCCGACAGAAGCAGAAACTCCTTGCCTGAATGCATCTAAAGTAGAAGTGAGAAATATTTAAATAACTTCATCACTTAAGGTTCAAACGACGAGATCTCAATGCAACTCAAACGTTTTTTGTTTTATTTTCAGTCCTATGATAATGCTACAACATTAATTGCTGCACAAGGTCCTCTAAAACAGACTATCAGTTTCTTCTGGCGTGCAATTCTCGACAACAATATCAACACCATAGTGATGCTAACAGAGTGCAAAGAGAATAAAAAGGTAGAAACGTGCAAAACTCTTAAATTCAAAAGTCGTCTATGGACTTGACGCACAAAATTACATGACAACGGCTGTATGCTCCAGAGTAATACAATCAAACACAAACGTACACGTACACAAACGTAAATGTTTTGGGACTTAACTTTTTATTCATGCAAAATGACACAATGAAAAGATTATACAAATACACAAATACATCAAGAAGTGAAGGAATACAAATGACTAACTAGAAGTAACATAAGTTCTTGTTGGTGATAAATGTCCCTAATAGACAAGTTTAAAAGTATAAAATTTTGTTGCAAAATTAAGTTCCAAGTAATTTAATTGAAGCTATTTTGAAACAAAATGATATAAGTCAAATTTTTTAAAGATAGTTCGATTTCAACTAAAAAAAGTCGATAAATGTAGTACGAATAGTAGTCCTCATTTCTAGCTTCTGATATTTTTTTCACAAAATCTATTTTGGATAGCAAAATTTTTGAATTTCGGTAAAACCGATATTCCGGGAATACTAAATTGATGATGGAAATTGAATTGTAACCTGTTGACTATTAGAGGGAAAGGGGGTACGTAAGATCACTTCACACATAAAAAAGAGTCGTTATTGATCATATTTACTTGTTGATTGTTGTAATACTTGAAAATATTTATAATTAACAGGAACAATGCTTTCCTTACTGGCCCAGCGACAACGAGAAAGATCTCGTGATTGATGAAATCACTATTCATTTAAAATCTAACAGTACTGACAATGAAATCATTAGACGTGAATTACGTGTAACCAAAGAGGATGACGAAAAGGTATATTAGTTAATAGCTGATATCCTTTGTAAATTTAAATGCACTTGAAAATACCACACGTCGACATGCCTAATTGCCTATTGTAATGTTAGCAGTAACGCAGCTTATTCACAAAACTCGTACTGTGTTTGCAATTTGTGCTAGCTCACAAAAAGTGGAGCAGATAGAACCGCTAGAAAGATAGCAATTTATTGTGTACTATCATTACTAATTAAAATTCATTAAGGTAATTATCCTATACCAATACACTGGCTGGGCATCAAACAAATGTCCGGATGATGCTACGGCAGTACTCGATCTGATAGAGAAAATGCAATCAAGTGTGAGAAGAGAGAAAAATTCCGCTGTGTTGGTTCATTGTAGGTAAGATTGAAATCAACCCTAGAACCACAGTAAAAGTTATTGGAATATTTTAAAGCAAAATTGGATAATGTGGTAATAGGATGTTTTGTACAAAGCACCCACCAAGAGAACACCCACGCAAACGCTCACAAAATATATAAAATAGTGATTATCCTGTTGGGGTTGGGGGTTGGAAACGCACCGGAAGTTCAATTTTTAAATCATTTCTAAACCTAACCCGAAAAAAATGAGACTAACGCTTTGTCAGAAAATGCAAGCTAACGATTGGGTAAATTGAGCCATATGTATACGAAAATGTGTAACAGATGGTTAAAGTATGGAACACAAAAATCTTGGGAGTGAAATATCGCTTTTTGCAAGATTTAAAAAATTGGAAAAGCATTTATTTGGGTTAATACTGAATTGAATTGATCGATCTCTCAGTTGCGAGAATTAGTGATATTTATATATTTAAAACACCGAACATCCCAACAAAAATTAAAATAAAAATAATGAAAAATAATGAAATGCGAATATAGATCTATTAACAAAGAGTTCCAAGTCAAAATTTGATACTAAGTACACCAAATAGTAATCAAATGTTACTGAAGATTTTGAAGCGAATTTCATTAATTGGTCCGCAATAATATATAATTTACACGGTTTGTTTAGTGACGGGGCAGGAAGGACCGGAAGTTATTGTGCAATTATTAATCTAATTGAGAGATTGAAATGCGAGAGAAATATCGACGTCTTCAGAACTGTCAAAGATCTGAGGGATTGCAGACCAGGGATGGTGCAGACACTGGTAAAATGCGCAGAATATTAGTAATCAATTAAAACTGAGTAGAATATCCAGTGAAGCATTGTTAGATAGGGTGCCACACACTGCGTTGCCTCCCATGAGCTTGTTTATGGTTTCAATAACAATTGTATGAAATAAGTTCATTCAATGTTCAGAGAAATGTGTCATCACCAAGGTCTAATCACAACAAATAAATCAGAAAAAAAAAATTGCTGATAAACATGCAAGCTACAATTTGGTTGTGGGGCAAACAATAAAATCACATCGTGACTACGATTTAAAAAAATCAATCAAGCTGATATTGATTTATCTATTACAATAAAAAATAGTGTTCAATAATCAAACCGCGATCCAACACTTGGTGGCGATAACTAACAATGACAGAAAACAAAAATTACAGCTCATAATCAGAAAACGAATTTGTCACTTTGTCAATGGAGTGATTAATATTTTATTTATCTATATATTTCAGGGGCAATATAAATTCTGTTTCGATGCTGTGTCGGCTTATCTGTCTACATTCAACCTTTATTCTAACTTCACCGTCGACAACAAACCTACAACATCAGCGAATGAAGAAAACCTGTACGCAAACATATGACATATTAAGAACGTTGTGCCCATTGAAGAGAAAATTACAATTTACTATGTTTGTTTATATAAAGATTGGTCGCGGAAAATAGATCCATTTGATGACTCCGTCATCACTAAAAACTAGTAATATTTTTTCCGCCTTTATAATCTAATCTCTTATAATCTAATCACTTTTATATGTAACAATATAAATATATGTATTTATTATTATACGTTATACGCTCCGCGGGCCAAATATTGTACGACCCGCGGAGAATTACTAATTTCAAATGTGTTGCGGCGGAGTTTTTACTTTAATTTAATCTGGTACGTGCGAGTAATCCCAATCCTTCGCAAAGCCAATACCTGAGTCCAAATTATGCATATGACGTTACAGTTCCCGAACGCGTGTCATAAGATCAATAACCAAAAATTTTTTGCCTGCAACTTCTAGAAAGCCTATGTTAAAAGGTGGGGCAAAACAACACAATTAGCATATTTTACTGAAAAAACTAAATGATTCAACTGTAATATTAAGGGGAAACGAATTTATGAATTCGTGCAATCAGTTATGATTATATGTTATTGTTATGCGTTGTACACTGCAAATAATATCGTTACGAAAGGTTCTGTCTTCTGTCCTTCTGGCAAATCTTTTTAATCAATTCGTCAATACTTCAGAAATAATATCAAATATCAGCATATTCGAGTTGCAAATTATAAATCATTGGGTAATCCCGTAGTGTGTGTACCAGGTTAGGGTTAGGCCATCATTTTATTCCGATTTTCCCTATTTTAGTTCTATTATGAGTTCGGGACTGTTTGTGTTAGTCAAGTGAATATACACCTGTCCATAGGCTATCGTCCCTTTACACAACTTGATGTAAAGTATAGGCGAACGAAACTAGTTACTTTCATATTGATACACGTACACCAGGAGCGTCGATCGGTGTATATTAGAATATATTCTCGAGTTCACGTCCTAATTTTTATTAGAATAAATTTGTACATTCCCAACTTTGTTCCAACATAACTGCAGAATGTACTGCTTGCGCGTATTTTGAATAAAGGAAACATACAACTAATAATATACGCGCTGAGGTAATTCTAACAACAATATAATTTGGAAACTTCAAATTGCATATTGAATAAAGCAATATTTTATATAAAAAAAAATTCAAGTATACCACCGTTGGTCGTTGCCATCTTCAAGTGCGCTCTATAATTAATTACCAGACGTTTACCAATTACCAACATGATTTAAGTAACCTTTTGATGAATATTTTATCCTTTATGATGGTGTAAATAATATCATAAATTCTTATTAATTTATTGGTCTTTCTCTTCTTATATTTAAATACTTTTCAAGATGGTCTTATTAAGGTATATAAGATTTAATGTGTGACCTTTTTCATTTATTCATGCAGTCGTTTAGGGAATCCATGTTGCACAGGCAGGCTGAAAAGCCAGGATGACCCATTGGCTTGCTTTCCTCATATTATGTTTAAATACTATCTATATTAGTTGCTATGGTGTAAACATTTTTGTTCAATAGGTAGGTAGGTATCTGTCTTTTCCCGCACACCTATATGTGGGACAATACACAATATGTGCATCGACAATCAAGTGCACTGTTCATGTAACGATTTGTTCTATTATTAATGGGTTCAAACGTATCTAGCCTGAATGAAAAATTTTCATGAATTTACCATGACACAGCGCTCCAGCCAGAAGTATGTGTGTTAATATGGAGGTAACTTATTTTGTTTGCCCACTTTACATCAAGTTGTGTAAAGAGACTGAAACTTATGGACACATACTACGGGAGTACCCATGAGACGTGCAAAGTCAGTATTAAGCTGATTTATTTTGTTATACTTGGGTTACTTTTGTTATACATTTTTATGAAATTTGGACACGCTTTTATGCTTTTTGACTAGTCCGCCTCATTGAGCTTGTCCACCAATCTTTGCGGCAAACTCGTTTTTCTGCTAGACCGACAGCTAAAACCTTACTCTTTTGGTACCTTCGCGCGATTTGCGTGTTCATATATTTAAGCATTAATTCTTTATTTCATATTACGATGTTATGAAATTACCTAAACGCAACTATCTCCCAGCTTTTTAAAGTTTAGTGGCATCGAGAATTGACTAAGTTCAAACGATTTCCATTCGACCGGCTTCAGGCGGATGACATATTATCACCGGTTATTGAAATCAAAAATTTATATTTTGAAATGGTAACTTAGGTCGAATATCAAATAATAATATCTCATTTTATTGTGTACATTGAAAAAAAACACAAAAGATTTGAGTCACCAATTTTGGTTTTCTACTCTGGACAATCCACAGTAAACTGCCCTTCACTATCTTGTGATTTCCCCCGTTTATATTCGCACTAGAAAAACGGTAATCCCTAAACTTTACGATTTGTAGACATTAAAATAGTATAGTGCAATTTCGCGTATAGTCGACTTTTAACGGCTTTCAATGAAACTGCCCGTTACAACAAATATGCTTCTATATTAAATAAAAAGTCAGTTCAAGCACAAAGTGCAAAAGCAAAAACAAGCAAAAAGTAAAAAATCTACACAGGTTTATATAGTCTTAGTTTCAGCCTTGCCTAAATATTTTAGCAAAATGCTTCTGAAGAGCAATAAATATACATGTTGAATTGAAACCAATGTAAACCTAGCTCTCATGGGTAAGGCGTTCCATAACATAAACCTGGCTTTAATACAAAATTCGACTCTTCTTGCTATATCAAACAAAACATATCTGACTCACGCATTCAAAACTGAGTAATTTTTCAATATTATTTTCGGCCTAGTTTGCAAATTTAGATGCATGTCCGTAATCAGTATTTAGTAACAGCGTACAGTTTGCAGCGATTTTCATAGTAAGTACTCTTAACGGGCGGTGTAAATTGGGTATTGGTATCGACAAAGACCGCATAACATCACAAAAATACGACTATGTTTTGATTGAAGCTGAATATCTGGTGTTAATTGTGATTAATATTGGTGTTAATTTAATTGGAAATATGTATAGGTCGATTAAAGGTTGAATGGATGCGTGATTAGATTTATTAAAACTCGTCATGTACTGAGAGTCTGTTCACGAATGTATGTGAATCAAAACAACACCGATATTTTTTGGATCATTGGCACCATTCCACCAAAGGCATTTTAAGTTGCATATATTTGAATGTTTTTATGCAACAGACATGTTGAAGCTCATCCAGGTCTAATTATACCTCTTGCAGCTCTCCTTTTATGACTTTTTTATGACAAGGGAAACAGGACAATTTGAGAATATTTTAGGAATGTTGCTCGACGAAGTAATCAACCCAGGTTCACAAACTATATTTCGGCTTGTCGAAACGAATAACGGCCCAGATTAACAGTAATGGGTTGTATTAAATGCACCCATACGGAATTTTTGTGTAGTGAAAAATCAAGACAGTGAACAAGAAAGTGTTGTTTCTTAGCCCTCACTAATCCATTACTGATCATCATGAAATTTGACCACGTGTGAACTCGATGAACGAGTCCAATGGACCATATGGACCAAACAACAAATAGCAGCAGTCGTGGATATACAATTGCTCAAAAGCAGAAAGTTATGGCAACATCAGGCGTGACCAGTTTTGGACTGTGGGCGATATTTCGACCATGTCTGTTTTGTTCGCGGTATGTTAATCAACAAAACATCTTGGCCACGAATCGCAATATGAAAAATGTCGCACAACCTACCAGATTTGATCACATACTTCTTTGTCACGATCAATTTCAAGAATAAACACAACACGCTAAATTGCGTATAGAAATTTTGCCATTGCAGCTCTTACGCTGGCAAAAAAAATAACAAAGAACAGACAATGCCAAATCAGCACCGGTTGCGGCAACACTGAATTCCAAGCAAAATCTTGGTAACTGAAGATAACGTACGGTACTGCATTTTGAATTCCGAATTCATATTATAATTTAGCTGGTATAATTTTTGCTCGCAGCATGCAACCGCATATTCATGCAAATCATAAATTAGGCAAGTTCAATCAGCATTGGTGCATTTTCATGAAACGTATGACTGAAATGGTGTTTTAAATATACGGCGCCCGATCTAAATCTTTTTTTCACATGTCAGTCAATCAACTGTTCGAATAATCATCATCAGAACCGCGTTGACCCATTTAAGGCTTCTTGAGAGTTGGAAATTTCCCGTGGTTAACAATTTTTAATACAACGCAATGAAGTAGGTAGGTTTACTATACGTGGATTATGTGATTCCTCATTTTATTCTACCGCAAACCGTAATGATAGCATAACATAAAACTTCCTGTACGTGGTGTCAATGATGGAAATCATAATGAGATTGTATATATATTCGAGCATGTGGGTAGTATGAAATATTATACGACATCCTGGCTTTTCTGTTCATAAGTTCACAGGGTGGCAGATTGAGCGTCATTAAATTTCAGCAGTGCAGTAGTTAGAAACATGACGTTTTGAGTGAGATTATTCATAGCGTTATAGCAGTGGTTCCCGAACAACCGGTGGATTATATTCCCCACGTGTGGAAAATTGAGGAGATGCTAGTTGATAATACACAGGATTGTAAGAAAATTTATTGTAAACGTATTGTTAAGTAGAGACATGCATATGAATATTGACAATTAATCAAAGCAGTGCATTGCAACTTTTCCCTTTTAACGCAAAAGTAGACGTGCAGTAGATAGAAGCATGGCGTTTTGAGTTTGATAATTTTGAGATTATTTTATTTATAGCGTAAGGACAGTGGTTTCAAACCAACCGGTGGGTAATTTCCCCACTTGTGGGGAATTGGGGAATTGAAAGTGTGGAATAAACGGACTTGTAAAAAATTACACGCAGTAAACACAATGCATGAATATTATTACAAAATCATAATAACACTAAGAAAAAAATAGCAATGATGCTAACTAACAGGTACCTAAGATTTTAAAAAAAAATTGTGAACGTGTTGTTGCGAAGATATATAAAATTGGGAAGCGCAACACTATGGTCGGGTAATCGAAGCAGTGCGTTGCAACTTTTTTCTCAGCCCCAACCTTTTTCAAAGTTTATGCTTTGAAACAAAAGCTTCGAACCGACTGGGGGTTTTACTTACTTTCTACACCCGAATTTGCAACATGAAGAAAATCATGTGTACCAAGTTTTAATTTATTCAAACGGTTTTTCATCTAGTGCATAAATAGCTAGTAATTGTAATTATAAGAAACTAAAGTAATTATACTTTATCGTTCTCTTCTACTGGGGAAGTTAGGCATAAAAAATAGATTGTTTTTGAGAAAAGCATAAATGCTATGAAGAACGCAATATGGATATTTATCCTGATAAATTCATTATTTTCAGCTATTCAATCAGAAAGTCCAAAACGTGAGTTTATAAATATATTGTTGTTTTATTATAAAAAGATAAAATTGACTATTTGTATGTGATGTGGAAAATAAAAACTAACCACCCGGTCCTGAAATATTCTCAGACACAGCTACTTTCCGAACATACAAACTTGAACTATTTGTTCAAGGGAAGGAGTGGTATGCAGCCAAAAAAGTTTGTACCGATAGAGACAGCTGGCTGGTTGAAATTAAGGATCGTGAAACATACGAAGCCGTAAGAAATCTCACCAGGTATTCAATATAGAGAATATTTCCGAGAATAAGCAATTTCGTAAATTTCTTTATAAACAATTTTGAGATCAGTCTTCACACAACAGCATGAATTACATTGGTCATATTTACTATTAAATATGTTTTTCAAAATAGAATTCACGATTTTTAAGGGAGGATATTTGGATTGGATTGAACTATCTACCAAACTATAAATGGCTTTGGAACGAAGAGGGTGAATTGAGATTTTCAAACTGGTACGAATACGTATTTATTGATATGCCACATATATCGAAAGAGTGTTAGCAATCGCTTAATAGCTCAAGTGAAGGAAAAAATATATTGAAGTCGCGCATTTACCATGTGGTGAGCAAAGTCCAATTAATTACCACCATCGATGGTTCCCTTATCGTTTACGGTGATATTTCACAGAAACTAACAGGCAATAACTTCGACGGAATGTTTATCTATCAATGTTAGCACGACTTGCTTATCCACCACAGAAAAAAAAAATAGGACCTCCTGAAAAATGCGCACCAAGATGGCACACAACCTGAACTCAGGTTATGTACCAGGCTAGGGTTCAGGTTGTGCGACATCTTGGTGCGCATACTTCAGAAGTACCAAAAAATAACTATATTATGATTAACTTTGTGGCTAACCATATTGCATCATTTGCGTCACTGAGCTTCATTAATGTAAAATTGTGCAGAAATCGTTATATATTAAGTTAATTGAGCAATTACTTCAGACTGATGAACATGACTGATGATTTTCTATCTGATTATGCCTATTTGAACCTTACTACGGGATTCTTTGTATCTTATTGGTAATAACATTTCATTTCAAATGAATCTTTACAATTCACAACTTTTGCAGGGATAGTACAAGTCCAAAAAAATATGAAACAAAATTCAACAACCAGTGTGTTCGTCAGTTTGCTTCAACAGGATTGTGGCGCAATCACGATTGCAAACCTGGATATAAATACGTTTGCCAGTCAGGTTGAATTGTATTTTGTAATATTAAAATTCAATTTCCATTTCTAAATCAAGTCTGGGCCAAACGTTTCAAATAATTGACGTATATCAAATACATTATATGGGTGGGTCACTTATAAATAACTTAATTGGCACTCTGTATGACCGGAGTACCTTCCAAAATGAAGCTACTGAAAAAAATTAGAACAGTGAAGAACGGTGTTAATTATAAAAAACGCTTTAGAATTTTAATTCAACGCATCCAAGATTATTATTATTGTGTTAGATCATGCGATTTAATAGTAAATATTGAACTATTTAGATATGGCCTTCATTAATAAAACATGCACTAACGAAATCTGCTCCAATCACGGGAACTGCATTATGGCAACCGAGAACGACAGATATAATTGCAATTGCGAGCCAGGATATTTTGGAACGAAGTGTGAGAGTGGTAAATATACCCTACCTCCCGTTGATTTATTCACTATAACATATAAAGGGTAAACGTTGTGCAAGATCGCCTCTTTTGAATGTATTTTCCTTGATGAAACAATTGCCAATTATTATTACGACGGGGTTTTCTATCCAAAGTAATCAGTTTATATCTAGCATCTAGAATAAATAAACCTATTGCTCATAACATGTCGTACTTTTTTGGTCATAACTCTTTGAAAAATTAAAAAATCTTAACCGGGATTTCAAACGTTGGTTTGACAAGCATAAGGTATATTCGTCAGTCAACATCCTGGAGACGTAAATAACGCTTTTTTCATTTCATTTTTATCTTACCAAACATTCGAAATGGCGCGATTTAATTTGTTGGTAATATGAATTGATCTTTGGCATTGATTGACTCTAAAATTGCCTATTGCCAGGCGCTTCTTCAATAATATACAATGGGTACATCGATGATCTGACAGGTACTGTTTAAAATAAACTTTCCTCGTGATAAATGACAACGACGAGTTGCATTCTTTGGAAATTTATATCGGCGACTTCCGCCATGCACCAATAACAGCGCTAAATTCCCTGAATACTTCCCTATGTTTTCGGCGCTGAAATTGCGGGGTAATTGGAAGGTTGACAAAAAATCGATGTTACCTCCCCAATCACCCCTTCTAAAGGGTATTGCAATGATTTATAGTCATTTGAAGAAAATAAAAAAACATTCACGTAGCCTATGTATGTACAGAGTAACATAAAAACATAACCTAAATTTTTTTCATTCGACTCTGCGAAAATTAAAAATATATTGTAGTTTGGCTTGCGCTTGAACTTCTGTTTGTGACGGGCTGAAATAGCGATTGCAAGAATGGGAAATCTGTAGTCACCAGTGACGTCGAATGGGTAACTCATTCATCGGACTTGAACCCTGAGATTTATATCTGAGAGGGTATTCGAAGGACGATGTGTATCCGAAGTTCGAACAATTCATAACTAATTGGTGAACTCGAGCGAAGCAAAAATCAGAGAGATCACCATAGAAGGGTGCGAGCGAGTGATTGAGAATTTTGCGCGAATGATGCATGTTTGTTTGAAACGAGGCCATGCACATGTTCTAGGGAAAATATATTTTTTGTGAAAAACGTCTTATAGATTCCCTAAACTTTTAGTTACAATCATACACAAACAGAAGTTCAAGTGTGAAAAATTTAAATCATTCACTGCATTTTTTATGAAATAAGTGAGAAAGTTTGTGGGTGCTGTTTTTTAGGTGTAGCAACATATGAAGTTACTACCTTGAAGACCTAACTTGTCGTGAATATGCCTACAAAAGCTCTTGGTTTTTATACCTTATTTCTCATGTGCATAATAAATGCAATAATAAATTAATACTTTACGCTAATTTTCAGACTTGATGACGGTAACACCACAGGATAGAACTTTTGAGACATTACAAGGAAGCATTATCACATTGATTTTGAATATTACATCTTACGATGGCAACGCAAATATCACTATGAAAAATACTAGCGGTGAAGTTTTAAAAACAAAATTAACCTCCACAATAACAAGTGGAAAAATTACGGAAACATTGTCTTTTACTATAAACACCTCGGGCATGGTGGGCACTGGCATGGTTTATGATTTTCAAGCTTCGAGTGTGAATAAAGATGGATATCATTTCAGTACCAATGTATCGGTCACTGTAAAAGGTGTGTATTGGGGTGTAGTTCTGTTCTTAGATTATAACCTATTTCATAAACGATTACATTGCTTAACAACTAATAGAAATAAAAAAAAAAGACGTTGATAAAAAAACGATAATGTGAAAATGTACAGAATCCAATTCATGATAGTCTTTATAATATGAAAATAGCAAACATAATAGATTATAATCTATTTCATAAACGATTACATTGCTTAGTAACTAATAGAAATGAAAAAAACGACGTTGATAAAAAAAATTGATAATCTGAAAATGTACGAAATCCAATTCATGCTAGTCTCCATTATATGAAAATAGCAAAAACGATGTGATGTTCTCATCAATGCCAAATATTTTCTCATTTCTTTATCTGTAGCGTATGCATCGATAGTTCGCATTGAACCTCCAACGTTGGCGATACCCACCAAGCCGGAAAACAACACTGTGAAATGCTTTGCTATGGGCTATCCAAAACCAGTTATAAATTGGTATAGAGGAAATGTTACGGTCAGCAACATAACAACACCTGGCATTTATCAGACTAACCATTCTGATCATACAACATTACACGTCGTAAAACAAGATAAAACAAGTATTGGAGAATACACATGCGTAGCTACTAATATTGTCGACGAACATGTAAAACACGCTGTTGCTACAATTCAAATAACAGGTAAAGTACATCCCGTAATACAAAAAGATATATTGATCAAAACTAGACAACTTGATACTTAATATTTCAAAATCCAACAATATTTGTTTGTTATTAGCTAAGTGGTTCCACTACAATAAGTCGGGTTGAGCTAAAATAATTCTATACATTACATTTAAATTTTAGATCAGTGTACGCCGAAGCCTTGCAAAAACGATGGTCAGTGTACGCAAACAACGCATTTTCCATTCTTCAACTGTACGTGCCTGCCTCCGTACAACGGATCCCGATGTGAAAGTATAGTATTTATTGTACATAGTCACAGTCTAAGTTTGCTTTCATTTTCATAAAGCTTTGCTTTCATTTAATGAACCTACTACTAGCATTATATCAAATTCAATGAAACATATATAGATGTATATCATTTCACAGATGCTCGAGAAATAGATTAGAGGTAAATGATACTATTGTTAAAATATACCCATACAGCTACTCTACATTATAAAAATTCCAAGGCACTATTCTATGAAGCAGCGAAATTTTATAATCACAATTTTAAAATAGATCAAATCTTTTATGAGATATATTTCGAAATATTTTGCAGATGAGGTGTTCTTTGAAAGAGGAGTTTGCAAATATCACATCAATTACAATCACAAAATGAATTTTCTGACTGCAAATGAGAGTTGCGGAAAATTAGAAGGAATACTTGCAATACTAAAAGTGCAGAAAATTCAGATTTTTGTTGAAAATCAAGTACAAGCATTGTATAACAACGTTGGTCTCATTGAGCTGTGGATAGGCGGTCATAAAAACGAGAAAAAATGGATTTGGTTTGATGGGTCAAGTATCAATTCGGATACTGACTCTAATTGGGCTCCTGGGAGGCCTGGGAACAATATTGCTTTAGCTCTTAGCTCCTGGTTAAGTATAAAAGGAAATATGAGTCGTACGTGGGACAAGTTGCACTGGTTCGATAAGACGAACACAAGCAATATTGGCTATGTGTGTGAAGTTGCAGGTATGTGACTACAAAATATTGAAAGTAATTAATTATTAATTAATTAACTATTGCAAATTTATCTATTGATTGTCTATTAAAAGAGTATTTCCACCAATAGGGTTTCGTGGCATTCATTTGTGTGAAATTAAATATTTGCAATTCACGAATTGTTGTTGTGGTGATCGGGTAGCTGGTAACCGTAAGCATATCAAATATCAACATTTAGATGGGTTGGTTGAATGAATGCATTTGAATTTTGCGCAATTTCTTGAAACACCAAATTACGCTTTTTTTATGACTCTCAGTGGAGACTGTGTAAACATTTGGTTAAGAGTAGACCCGTGGTTTTTGCAAGAGAACCATTGAACTTCACGTGTCACAAAATATTCGATAATATTTGCTTTATTATCAACTATTGAAATGAACAGTTTTCTATGAGTAATGATAAGACAAAACACCCAAGAATTTTAATTTTGACAGTAAGCGATCCATGTGTATCAAATGAATCAAGGCCCGTATGCCAAAATGGAGGAATGTGTATTCGCAAAGGGTGTCAAAGAAAATGCATGTGCAACGCCGGATATGATGGGGAACATTGTGACAATGGTACGTTCAAAGGCGTTGTTTACTATGTAACAACCCTCGCTTTAACACAGATTCTTTCCAGGCAATTATTTTACATACACAAGCTAGATTATTCGGCTCCCACGTAGTATGTGAGCCAAGATGGCGGACAACTGAACATAGTATGTGTACCCGGTTAGAGTTAGGCGATAATTTTATTCCAATTTTCCTTATTTTAGTTCTATTACGAGTTCAGGGACTAGCAAGTGACTCCCGTAGTATTTGTATCTGAAATTATGGCCTAACCCTAACCTGGTACACATACTACGTCCAGGCGTCCTCCATCTTGGTTCACATACTACGGGAGGACCGACTATTCTAGATGACGCCAATATAAATATGTCGCATGTCACTATTTACTTCTATTAGCATACAGTTAACCTTTTGCAAACTATTCGGAAATGCAATCGAAAAAATCAAACTGCTAGAAAGGATAATTTTTCATATAGTTTACCAAAAATTTTCCATTTTGTTTAACCATATTTCGTATTAAATTTTCAGATAGAATTAATATGGCGACAACTTCGCGCAATTATGTTACCGAAATAAACAGAAGAATCACAGTAACGCTCAATGTTGACAGCAATCACGGACTAATCAAAGTTGAATGCTTCCAAAATTTGAACTTTTCATATTCTTTCCAAACAAAACGTAATGTTTCAAACAATGTTTCTATCACAATTGGTCCGTTTTCAAGTCAAAGTTTTCAAACAAGTTACACATTCCGCGCAAGACCAGAAATTGATCCTGAAAGTTACTTCAGAGAGGAAAATATTACTGTCGTCGTCGAAGGTAATATATACATTTATATATAATTCGTCAAATGTTTATGTGGTGTTTTGTGTTTTACTATTATGATTATATTTTATGATGAATACAATGTTATTTAATGTGTGTTAAACTATGTTATACAATCACGTTTTTTTTTTTGGGTACATACAAAGTCGATTTTGTTAAACTACTGACAGTCCATTATCACAAAATAGTCCTTTTGAACCGAGTATTCACAATTTTTGCAGCGCCTGCACGAATTAAATATATGAGCTCATCCTCTGAGATAATTCCAAACTCGATGCAAAATATAACGTGTGAAGCAACGGGAGTTCCTCGACCCCAAATCAAATGGTATAAAGGCAATAAAGAAGTTTCTTCTGAAGTTAGTCAAACTGTGTTCCAATCAAACACGTCAACTATGGCCATACTCCACCTGAAAAACGCCTTGCGAAAAGATGCAGGAGTGTATGCATGCGTGGCAAGAAATGTTGTTGGTGGTCGTATGGAAGTATATGAAAATACTTCTATTCTGAGAGGTAAGCATTTCTGCCGAAGGCAATTGATGCTGTTTTTATTTTAAATGACGAACCTGATTTATAAAATTATTTGCACTGTTTAAAATTATTTACATTGTATGGTTGATTTTATTCGAATTTTAATCGAATATTTCAACAGATATGACTCGAATATTTCTTAGTTTTCAACATCTGCATATTATTGCAAGCCTGAATATGTCATATCTTTGAAGCATGTGTGAGGTTGATATCAAGAAAAAATACTACAAATTTGATGCATTTAATAAAAACTAGACTTTCGGGCTTCGTGAAAATATCAAAACACGAAAATTTTATATTCTTTTAACTAATCTTTGTATCTTTATATTTTCAGCCGAAATTCTATTGAAAGGTAATAATATAAGTGAAAACAACAACTTTGCAACAGCTATGTGTGCATTTGAGGGATATCCAATTCCTAAAATTCACTGGATGTTTTCTAAAAACGGAACAAATCTAGCGATTAAGCAAGAAGTCGGATCAATTTTTAAAACTTCTTCAACAAATTCGACGCAAGATGTTGCAATAAATACAAGCAAATTAGACATCGCACTCTTTGAATATTTGGGGATGACAAACATTTCCTGCTATGCCAGCAATTCGTTTGAAAACACGTCGACAGCAACAATGATTTTAAATCGTAGTAAGTTTTTCATCTTATTTGAAATAAGAAAATCGAAACTATGTCATAATTATGTTTTAAATATTGGGGCAGCAGGAACGATATAAAATAGGGCTAAATAACAAAGTAAATGAATTTACGGGTTGGTACTAATGTTGTAAACGAACATGTACCCGGAACGTTGGTAATATTACTTTGCACATATTAAATTACTCAAATTCGACAAGACTTGGAGCTCACTGTTTGTTACGACCATATGAAAGCTTGTGCTACAATAAATTCAATAGTATCTTACTTGTTGGGATTAAGTACTGCATCAATCTCTTGAAGATTGATTAGTGTTATGCAATACGATATTAAGACAAACATACTCCGTGATATTGTGAGGTAAAAATGCCATGCATGAATTGTCTTCGCATAATCACTTCCTTACTGTTGATTATTATTAAAGACCTTGCTGTAGGATCAAATTCAACATACATTGTGATTGACAACATGAGCGCGAGGGCAAATTATACAACAGCAAAAGATCATTGCTCAAGTATAGGAGGAAGTCTGACAAAAATCAATAATAACGAAACCCAATTACTAATAAAATCATTAGCAGACTACAGAAAAACTCCAGTAAGCCGTGAGTCAAAAATCTACACTTTTTTAAATTCGTAAAACTTTACCTCTAATCCAAGTCTCGTGGAGATGTCAAAAGATAAGCTCAACGACAATAAACTACTGAAAATGTTGTCACTTATGGAGTATACCCGATATTAGATTTATCCAATAAATTTATAAGCTAAATATTTGAAAAACGCATCTCATGTGTTTAGTATTTATCGGGGCGAAGCGGAGCAGAAATGATGGAGTTTGGAGATGGATAGATGAGGAGATTATGTTCAACGAAGGTCGCAATGAGAGGTATTTATTTTTCACGGTATAGCTAACTATTTCGTCCATTTTTGGATTGTTTACTTTTAACTTTATGTTAAGCTGGGACACCAATTCAAACAACTCTAATGACAACTTTGAGGCCTGGGCCGAAGGTCAGTCAAACAAACAGAATACTAACTGCGTAACAATGAGGCATCCCAGCTGGAAATGGTATGCAACAAATTGCTCGGAATCTAACGGATTCGTTTGCCAACGAGGCGGTAAGATACGTGGTATTTGGTTGGCTGTTTTATATTAAAAATTAAATTCATATTTTATATGTTCTCGTACTCAGTAATTGGAAAACCTACACAGATGACAACTATTGTGGAGCAATGCAGTGCAAACATAACAGTGTCATGGCGTCCAGCAATAGAAGCTATCGGGATCAAGCACACGTACGGCTAAAAATAAAATACTTTATTCGGTGACTCTGTTCAATTTATTTTTGGCCAGTGATTATGACAGATCAGATACGTGATGTACAACATTAACATCTAAACAATGGTGATACAATGTAGTACAACATTGAATAGCCTACCATGTGGAAAATCTGTAGAACTAGTATCAGAATAAACAGTTGAAAATATAACCTATTTTCAGTGCATCGATACCAAAACCACGCATAATAACAGACATTCTATTCATAAAATTATAGCTTGGAGCTGATAAAAGATGATGCAGACAGGATAAAGGCGGTTGCTCCGGAAGTTGTAATACCAACAAATTCAGATAATATCTACAGACGACTATCAAATCTAGAACATTCTACAGTATATCAAGTGAAGGTAAATCAGTATAAACTGCAATAATTTAAATATTATTTATTGAAAATACTTTATCATTATTGAAAATACTTATTATTGAAAATACTTTCATACTATGTAATGTTTATTATACCCCAGAATATATTCTAACAAATATACCCGAATCCTACCTCACAAGACAAAATAGTTGATCCAATATTCCAATTAAAAAATATGTCATCGCAACCATCAATTTAAGCTTAATGGTCGTTATCCAAAACGATGAAATCCACCGACTACTGCAAATGATTACCATCGGCCAGTGTAAGCTTACAACACGTACATTTTCATTGCAAGTAACAACGACGCATATCTTTAGGTGAATATTTAATGAAATATAAAACAATCACGTATTGTGATTAAATATAATTCAGGTGAGGTAAAATGTGCCCGCCATTTACAGTTTCCGATATCTGATTATTCCGGGTTCATGATTTATCAAATATATTTCAGATCACCGTCTGTTCAGATATATGTACCCACCCTTCAGTGACAACTAGTACTGTGCGAACGGATGCGACCCTTCCTGATCCGGTAAATCAGTTACGTGTTATTATGTTGAAAAACTCCAAAACGTGTCACCTTTCGTGGAAAGCAAACAATACCGATGGAATTACAGCATTCAAGGTATAATCGAATGAACGATGCATATAAAAAGCACAACAAGATGTCATCAAATATGCTTTAATCAACTGCTACGATCTTTTTACAGTTGATCTCTGAATATATTAAAAATAGTTTTATGCTATATTCACATGTTTAACCTTTTGGCAGATTACATCGCAAGCTAAGATAGCCCAAGTCGCATCAACGACGTACGCCCAGTGGTCAATGACTGAAGAGTTCGACACATCAAGCGATGACTTTTCAAAAAATATTACAGTTGGATTAAACATGAACTACACATTCACTGTGCGTGCTAAAACATGCGCCGGCTTGGGTCAACCCGTAGTTATAGAAAATGGCTGTGTCACGGAACAAGGGCGTAAGTTCGATGGGAAATATTTCTTTTGGAAATATTTATAATAAATTATTGTCATGAATTTCTGCTTCACAGCTAGACTGCTACATAAAATCACTATTTATATTGTATTCAGCTCCAGCATCAATACTACCTCCGACAATACAAATTCCTTCGAATGGATTAGCAGAGGTTAGCATACCTGCGCCAGATGAATCCCACGGTCCAATTACGTAAGAACTAATTTTATTTATTTGAATTTCCATCTATGTACTCGTGTTTAAAGGTGGCGAGGTTCGACGCACTTAGCATATTGCCTCAAGTGTGGATGATATGTTATTTAGGGGCTTCCGAAGTATGCGAACCAAGATGGCGGACATCGGAATGTAATATGTGTACTAGGTTAGGGTTAGGCCATAATTTTAGGTATAAATACTACGGGAGGCTCTTGGCTAGTCTTCGAACTGATAATAGGACTAAAATAAGGAAAATAATTATCGCCTAACCCTAACCTGTTACCCATGTTACGTTCCGATGTCCGCCATCTTGGTTCGCATACTTCGGGAGCACCGTTATTTAAGTCATATTTTCAAATTGGAATAAACAGTAGTACAACGCCATGTCGCGCCTGCGGTACTGGAGGGCGTATAAATTGACTTGACTTGTAAATTTTTAATAAATGGTCATGAAGTTTGGCGTCATAACAATATAAACCATTCTAACCAACGACTTTGTGATTCAGGTATATCTCAAAAATTACCTTTTTCAGTTTTAGTAACATTTAAAGCTTACAGTTAGAGAGTATACTGAATCTAAATTTTATTTTATTCTGTATTTCAGCTGCTTTTACATCATACTTATTTACAAGCCAGATGCCAACCACACAAATTTGGATTACAGACATGAACAATTGTTGGTCGCGATGGAGAAAGCTAAATCGAAGAAATTATTGAACAACGATGCTTATATCGCAATTGCAATTACAAGGTATTTTCTAGTGATTCTACTTAAAATTCAGTTTTTGAAAATTTATATTAGCGACCGCTAGATACCAAATTCACTAATATTTCATATTTACTGATAAAAAAATGTAACATTCATTCATGATCGGTCATTCTACGCCATTTTAAATGAAACGCGTTTTAAAAAACAAATGTTAAAACATCTTCCTAAAAATGACACTGTTATATTACTTATATATATTACAAATGAGTCTAAAATGTGTAATTTGATTGGATCCATTTAAAATATAGGTCTGATGTAGCAAGCAAGATAGATAAAAATGAAACATTCACTCGAAAATTGGGAGATGAATCAAAGAGTTCGTGCAACTTGAGTTTGCCTTCTGATTTGAAGAGGGTAAAGCGTTCGGACAGCAATATACGATTCGTTGAAGGAAATAATCGAAATCTGGAGAACGAAGCCACATTCGGGTTTGTTTTGCATTAGAATTTTGTGTATTCCCGAGTTAATAGAGTAGAGATCATAGCCTAAAGGCCGAAATCTCGTTTCATAATCTACTACTAAGTGTGTCCAGTGACGCAAGGTGTAGGTTACTAATTTCTACATAGGTATTCGTCACGCCAAATGGTACAAAATTATGTTTTTTGTTTCAGTGTACAGATCGTAACAACCACTTATGGAGAGAACGGACAGACTTATTTTAAAACAAGCAATACCACTTTATTTTACAAAAAAGCGCCAACGGACCCCGAGCAACCAGGTATCATGATTTAAGAATAATGGTTAGATAATACAAGTTATTTCAACAGCTTCCGGGAAAATGAGCTCATTACTTATTACATAGTACATTCATTTCCATTTATTTGGAAGATGGACTGAAATACCTGAAGGGCAACTTTCATACATGTAATACCATTGCCCTTATGCCACCTATCAAACAGAAATAGGTACACTGTATATAGTGTTACACGAACACAACTAGCATGTGCAGGAAAATTTGTTCCTGTTTAAGAAAGTAGAAGAAAGTAAGAAAGTAAAGTTCTTTAGATGTACTTAGCAATAATGTACATGGTAATTGGTTTATTTTATTTAGGTGGAAACTCTTACGTTGCGGCAATCGTTGTGGCGATTATTGCTGTAATTTGTCTCGCTGCAATCGTCGGAATTCTTTTCAAAAAGTATGTTTACCACTTATTATACAGATTAAAAATAAAGAACACATATTGTTATATCACTATTTTGACATTTATTATATGATGTTGATATTTTTCAGTAAAGATTATCATATTGTAGCAAATTTTTGATAAACCATTAAACTGCGATGATTAGTAGTACAAAAATAATATGCCTTCTAACAAATTTAGCTGAAAATGGAACATGCATGTCAGATCATACACTGTGACATTGCCTAAATGTACGGGTGGACTATATTTTAGATAAAAGAATATTTGAAAAATATTAATATATACTTCCATATTCAATTTGTTGTGACTTAGTGCAATAACAAAACACGCGAATGTGGTTGCTGTAGGTCGGGTAAAAAAAATATTATTATGGCGCACGCAGGATGTCAACAACAATTGAAACAATCTAATCAATTTTGGGAAACGATCTGCAGTAAAGTCGCAAACAGTAGCAAGATATCAGCAAGCAAAAATATTAGCATGATCAGAATTTAAAAAAGGGTCGAACCTTGATTTGCGGTAAATCATTGAAGGCACCTGATATGCGTCGTTTACATAGCTTCGGCATATATCAGAGTAGTCGTTTAATAAATATACTGCAAACAAATACAACATACAACCAGTGGTGGGATTCAATTATTTTATCAGCCGGTTCTATCACAAAAGCCATATTTTTCACCCGGTTCTGTTACAAAGGGTCATTGAGAGTTACAAGTAATGCTAACCGGTTCGCTGATCTCATAAAATTCCATGAGACGGTTCTATAGAACCGGTGCGAACCGGCTGAATCCCACTACTGCATACACCCTGAATAACGTCCACAAAGCTTCAACATCAATACTTCGTTAAAATGAGAAGCTTGCGTGCTACTTTAAAAAAGTATCCGCATGGTGATGGAATTGATTTTTCATATTAGTGATTCAATTACAACTTTCACAGGAAAAGAGACACGTTGAAAAAAGCTTCGTTTGATATAGGCATGCAACAACTTGGAGAGAGGACGGGTATATACGCATGAATTTCAGATTCTTTTATACGAAACACTCAAATGTATATTGGACCCAGCAACCTAATCCAATTCTTACCTCGGCCACGCATTTGAATGAGCCATAAATATGTAACATGTTGCCATATAATGAAAAGATTCATATTTCCAGACCACGCATATGCAAATTTTGCTATGGACGATACCGAACCTAGATCAGCCACCAGTATACCAATGGATCAATTGCTCATTATTTACAACTCCATGAAAGCAAAAGATAGTCAAAAGTTTAGAGACGAATTTGAGGTATCTAGTTGCTGATTAATTTAAAGCTAAATATTTTGTTTGGTTCAATTGATGAACTTCTTATTAAAAATACCATGTTTACTATAATATTCAAGAAATAAACTCTAAAATTTATCAGGCCACATATGGATATAATTTATCGTTTGAATGCCTGGTTTAGTAAATGTGAAGCAATCAACAATTGTCAAAATAAGTTTAGTAATAACTAGAATTACCTATATATTGAAAATTTGGGAAAATCCGTGCGCAGTTTAAATGCATAAAAAAACGAGTCTCGGAAGTTAGCTCAAATATTTTTTGTTGATATTACAGGCTTTAAAAGAAGAAGCTAAAGCAATTGAATACTCCACGGAAATCGCCTCTGCCTCCGCATTAAAAATGAAAAATAGATACAAGAATATACTTCCGTGTACGTTAGGCATAACATTATGTGTTACCGGTATTCGCAGCTGGCTGTTTGTTTTGTTATTCAAAACCATAAACAATGTTTTTCATAATTCTAATTATCATTACCAATAGTAATAATTTATAGTAAATATAAGGTTCCATTACATTTGAACCCACGTACATTTGAACCCACGACAATTGCACCTGCATGCCATTGCACCTATGGAATTTTTTTTGGTTGTTTTACGGATATTTGTACCCATACTAACCTAACCCATGGGTTTTAGCACCCGCATATTGATTGAACCCGCGGATATACACATGGGTTCAAATGTACATGGGTTCAAATGTACGGTCACCTAAATATAAAGTTATATCTGCTCGTTTTTAGGGCCGTCAGAAATTGGTCAAATCGATTAACATTGTATATCAATTCCGTGATAAACACACACACTAATTACATATAACTGACTCACATGACAAGTCACCTTGTATCAATTGCATGATAACGAATTATAAAAACAAATTTCCGAAAACATGTATTATATTCTATTCCACATATTTGTCCCCGTCAGAACTAAAATACTTGGTAAATTCAAATACAATTAATTTGCAGGCGATACTTCAAGAGTGATTCTTAGAGGTGAGGGTGATGCAACCTACATCAACGCAAGCTATATTAAGGTAGATTGGAATTAACTAATTTTGTCTGCAAGTGGAAAATTGAAGTTGTTTCCCGCTAGTAACGCCAAATAACCAACCATTTATATTTATACCAAAGTCTAGACCAGCTACGAAAATTATTTCAATGATAACTTTGATCATTCACTAGGCCCAATTCATTTTTTTGGAATAAGTTCCAAAATTAATTCCAATCTTTTAGTATAGAAATATAAGCAAATCCGTTATGTGTTAAAATCAAATTTTTTAGCTATAGGCTATTCATTTTAGCTATCCAAAGCTATCTTTAAAACTATAATAATTTGGAAGTGTAGTGATAAAAATTTAAAATAGTGGTTTATTGCGAATCCAGGGTTACAAGAAAAATCAAAAGTTCATTGCATCTCAAGGACCTTTACCAAACACAGCTAATGATTTCTGGAGAATGGTGACAGAAAAGAACGTCTCAGTTATTGTAATGCTGACAAATTGCATCGAGGGTGGAAGAGTAAGTTTGCATTTGCATTACATTTTCCACATGATAAAATAAATATTACTGATATCGCATTATAAAGGTAAAATACTTAGAACTCATGTATAACAAAATGCGACATTCCTATTGTGATTATTAGATCTCCGCTCTATGCTAAGTCGTTCTGATTGTCTGTCCATGTATCTGGCTGAGCCGATTTGATTGAACATTTCTCACGTGGGTTATTCTGTCTCCCTGGTAATGCGCGTTTCTCCTAAAGTCCGAATTGATATTTCGTTTCCATGGCAGCAGCGGAAAAACATGCCGATCGTAAAAAATTTTCCTTTATTCATAATTTTTCGTTATTTCTTCGTCAACCTGCAAGTCGAGTATTAAAATTCCGAGAATGCTACCCTCCGAGGAAGAAAATTCTCCGTCTTCCGCCTTGTTAGTCCATAAACTGAGAAAGCTTTGGGAATTTAAGTAAAAATGTTTCAATTATTAGCCACAGGATTACCTCCGAACAAAAAGAACTACCAGATGCACAGGGCTCAAAATGAACATGCACTTTCGGTACAATTTTCTCTTGCAGATTCCCTGCATTGGCGGAGATCCATACTGGGCGCCTTATCGGCTTCAAATCAAAATGAAATTAATACCAAAAGGTTAAACCAGATTTCATCTTTTTAGGCAAAATGCGAAAAATACTGGCCCGATCAAGGAGTAACAAGAATGTACGGTGATGTCAAACTGGAAAACAAAAACGAAGCAACTTATGGAAGTTTCGTAGTTCGTAGATTCGCTCTCACTACGGAAAGTAATGTATGTTCGATTGCATTTCGAATCGAAAGGGCATAAGTTACCCATATTAAATATTTATTGATTGACCTTAGCTCATGAATAAAAATACTGAAAAAAATATCTAAATTTGGGTTAACGAACAATATATTAAAATGTTCTTTGCAGGAGGAAAAACCCGTCTATCAATATCATTTCATCCGGTGGCCTGATCACGGAGTACCGGTAACAACAACAAATTTGATCAAATTTTATAACTCAGTGATGTCGCAGCACGCTAAGACCAACAAAAACTCGCCTATTATTTGTCACTGCAGGTTTGTGCATAAATATTGGATTGAAATGTGGGTGCTTGAGGGATGAATTTATTCGGACCTTACAAATATTTATACTGTATCTGATAATATACGTAAAATGAATAGTCTTGATAGTGTTTCCGTTTGTAACTTCCTTTTTTAACGTTATTTTTTAAAAATTTGAATTATTATTTTATGAAAAAGTGCTGGGGCTGGACGTACAGGCGCGTTTATCGCATATGACTATACACTGGAAGAAGCCGAAGCAAAGAACTCCATTGATGTCTACGCATGCGTTCTAAAAATGCGGGAATATCGCGTGCAGTTTGTTCAGACCTGTGTAAGTTTTGAGCCGTTTAATATTCGTGCAATCAAATTAGATCTTTTCACAAAAATATCATTTAAATTTGTGCAAAATTAAAATGAACCCTTTTTCATATCGTATCAAATTTCCACATTCAGGATACGTAATTCAATACAAATCTGAGCAAAACTAGTTGCAAGTAATGCTATTATCAGTAACAAAATGCATTTTCATTATTGTGCCCTTTGTTAACCAGGATCAGTACATTCTCGTTCACAAACTACTTTTGGAATGGTATTTGATGAAAGAAACAGATATTGATCAAGATTCCGTGTCAAAGGTTATGGAAAAGTGAGAGTTAAAATTATGCCTCGATCCTTCATATTGTACATTCTATTTTTTAAAAACGATTATATTAATTTAAAGGTTTATGCGGTGTATATTGTAAATTCTGAAACCTCGCTCTTTGAATTTTTCTCAAAATCCACTTATGTGTACCAGATAAACAAAAATTAATTTTGTTTACTATTTCGTATTTCGAATAAAAAAAATTAGGACTGTACCTAGGCATAAAGCAGCTGATTAAATCATGCCATTTCCTACTTAGTAAACCAGAAATCGTTGAAAGGTTGGAGAAAGAGTTCAAAAACCTCTCGTTGGTCGGCCCAATAAATCAGACCAAACATGGCGACACGTCTAGGAATCGTGCGATGAACAGATGCAAAGAGATTGTGCCATGTGAGTGCCTGCTATATATATAGTTAAAGTGGTCAAAGTCTTCTCCAAAATCTGAAGTTAATGCAACGACTAATCATTGTCAAATTTTGTTCACAATTTGATGCAAACTTTTTTTTAACAAAATTCATCACGTTTTGATATAATCAATTGTGCTTTAATAAGAAAACACGAAAAACGAGAGTTCTCAAAATACCGCAAACTGAAGACCAGTCATGGCAATGTTATTAAAGTTAAAAAAATTCTATTTGTCGATACTAGGCCCTAGGGCCCAGGAAAGGTACGAAAGCATCATCTCATCAAATTTATCTGAAGTTTCATACAATCGTTCTTTTTCTATAACACAAACCTACAACCTTCCTTTTATGTTATTAGATGAACGAAATCGTGTCATCATACTCAAGCAAGTGAACGAAATCGATGTGCCTTATATAAACGCATCTGTAATCGAGGTTCGTTGAACACATAGTTTGATTATTGGTTGGTAGGTTCAAATGAAAACGGTATATATGATTATATGGATAAAATAATTTAGCTAGTAAAAAACCGAATACAGTTCAATAGTTTTCATTTTGCCTGCTGAACTCTTTAGAATAATATTTTTTTGTGTGGACTGAATCAACTAAATCGTAATTAGTTTGAAATTATTTTTGACATCAACCGAAAATAATACTGTTACCCATAAGCTTTCACTTGTTTTCAGACGTATGATACCACAAGAATGTTTGCTACGCAAGGACCAATGAAATCATCCATCGAATATTTTTGGAGATGTATTATTGATAATAGTATTAATACTATCATAATGCTGACGAAGTGCACAAATGATAAAAAGGTATTATTGATTTATCTGCTACTATAATATTTCATAAAATGCGAGAAGACAAGCATTTGCGTCAATTTACCACTTCAACACAATAACAAAACATTCGCTAAAAAAGATAAAATTTATTAATGTTTTTACTACTTTGACTCTCATTTAAATGGTAATGTCAGTAGAGATTAAATAAATAACTAAACAACTGCTGAATGAAAGCATGGACTGTTAACAGCACGTCGTGATATTCTCACGAAATGTATATATATATCAATAATAACCTTCCTAGTAACATGTAAATTTGCAAATTATTGCGATTATTCAATTATAGGAACAATGCGCACAGTATTGGCCCGAATCAAGTGAGGATGATATAACGATAAGGAATATGACGATCAGTCTCAAACAAGAATTCGTAGGCGACATAATTGAAAGAGAGATGAATATTTCACGTGAAACATACTCACGGGTAATCAGCCAAATGCTATATGTTATGAAAATATTTTAGTTGCCAGTTACATATTGTCTAAATCTACTGCCCGATATACCACCTTCATTAATCTGCATCGATAGAATTATTATTCCTTTTAACTATTTTTTGTTGCAGCAATATTATATATATCAATTTTGAATATATATAAAGTAACTAATGGTTGTTGAATGGACTTAAAACCCCCGCATTACCTTTCTTAGACATTTGTAACGTGTCGTATAATAATATCAATTGAATCTTGAAGTAAATTATGTGATATAAACTAAAGAAAATTTTCAGAACCCCGGATAAAGATTTAATGATTAAGCTCGAATATTCAATTAGAGTAATAAAGATTTATAACAAAGAAATGGTGGATCTATTTACAACATGAAATAAGACTCTGAAAACCACGAAAAATAATATATATGGGCTATGTCTATGTGTAATATTTATTATTGTAAAATTAGTCTAGAGTCATTTGTGTGTATCCGTCTTAAAAATCTTCAATTAGTATTGAAAAATAAATTTTGTTATGCTCATCTATTTTTATTTTAAAAAAAGTAAACATTAGGTCTAAAAATGACAACAATGATTGATTTTAAACCAAACATCACTCTATGCAACTATTTTGCTTTTAAACAACGCTAGACAGTTTTACATGAGCGGAATTTCCAAAAAAAACATATTAGTATTGAACAGGACGAATCTGACTAATATTGAATATTTTGAATTATCATAGATAAAAAATTATACGTCCATACGATCATGGTACGATACTTCGCCTCATTTTTGACTTTGAGTATTTTTATTTTGGTACTACGCCAGTAACTCTGGCCTCTCCCACTCAGGGGGGCTAAAACAGTATTTAAAAAAATGATTACAAATGAGTATTACGCTTAAACTGATTTTTGCGGATTAACAACTATTCCTTATCGTCGATTTACTCAATTTATAAAAAGTACATATGAGCGCGGTACCTCTTATCACCTTGAGCTATTTACTCCGCGTTGATTACTGAAGGCCTAATAAATGTGATACTATTCATCAAAATTAGCAATACATTGTGTGTCGTGTCATATTCCATGAAAGTATAGCAATACCCGTACGTTTGCTTAAAAAATTATATGTATCCATAGAAAAACCTAACTAAACCCTATCTTCGTTTTACGCTATTCACTGATATTGCATATGTGTGCGGTACTATACACCGTCAATGGGTATATTATACTCAGTGTTCTGTCATATTCCTTAAAAGTATAACCGTGGCCGCCGTATGATTGTTTGAAGTTAGTCTGTATAAACGTCATATACACAATTATTCTTATCGTCGTTTCACTCAATTAACTGAATACTTATGCGAGCGTGGTACTAAACACCGCAATTTGGTATATACTCAGTGTTCTGTCATATTCCTGGAAAGTCCATATGATTGTTGAAGATCATCCGTATTTGTGTTATGTCTCACTATTCCTTATCGTCGCCTTATTCATATTATGGAATGTCAATGTGCGTGGGTACTGTTTTGTATCCCATTTCATTAAAGTGTATCAATGGCCGCACTCATGCTTTCTTGTGATTAGTTTGTGAAGTATACACCTAATTATTCCTCATCGTAGTTTTACCCAATTTACTAATACTCATATGTGTGTGGTACTATTAATCCCCATTGGGTATATGTATATCGTGTCCCATTCCAGTGAAGTAAAGCGGTGGCCGCGCGTATGTTTGCTTGAGATTATTCCCTATTTGTGTAATACCTTCTTATTTCTTATCGTCGCGTTACTCAGTTTATGAAAGTCAACGTAAGTGTGGTACTATTAATTATCATTGGATATATAATATACTCTGCCTTGTGCCATGGTGCCACACGTTTGCTCGCTTGAGATATGTCTTTCTGTTATACGTAACTATTCCTTATTATTATTTTACTCCATTTATTAAAGCCCCATGCGGTACCATTATTCAGCATTGGCCGTATGTGTGCACAAAATTAGTCTGTATTGGGTTGATGCTATTTCAGATTCATGTTTTATCCAATTTATTGAAGGTACGTTTGAGTGTGGTACTAAGCCTGTATTCCCCATCATAAGCAATACACTCTGTAATGTGTCGTGTTTCATGAAAGTACAGCAGCGGCTGTGTGTATACTTTCTTGAGATTATTCCTTACTTTGGTACATAACTATTTCCTATCGTCGCTCTTTTCCTTTTATAGAAGGCCATACGATTGGGGTACTAAACACTTAGTATCGTATCATATTGAATGAATGTATAGCAGCGGTCGGTAGTACTAGTATGCTTGCATGAGCCACTGGCGTTTGAGCTATTGTTTATTTTGACCTCTTCGGATAAACGCGCAAAGCACAAGTATTGTCAAATGTTTTATCAGACAGCTGTCATTATTGTCGGAGCTCGGCAACGTTCATTTGCAGTAGCAATCACATCATTGTGACAAAACAATGACATAGTTAGGCGGCAGTTACGAAGAAGTATGTAAAAATTGTTATGCACCACACGCATTATCAGTACTAACACTAGCCTATACTAATAAACTACATTATACCCTAATCAGTGGCGTAGCCAGCCCAAAATTTGGGGGGGGGGCTAAATTTGAAAATTTTAAAAATTATATTGGGTTTAAGACACCCCTTCTTCAAGCGCGAAACAACAACAGTTTATCAATAAGCAATCTGAATCAACAACTCAGCTGGCTTTTTGGGAATACAAAATCCATTTTAATAAACAACATTTTATTATGTTACCCGAAGCACAGAACATGACAGTCTTGACAATGGAAGTCAATATTCGTCTGTTTTCTTTTGTTTGCGTTTTTCGCAGCTATAGTTGATTCTCGGTGGTAATTTGTGTCTAGGTGGGCTACAGCCTTTTCCATAAATTTTTTAGTCAATGCATGGTCTTGTAACAAAAGCAGTGTCCCGGAAAGTTCCATGCTTCTTGCATGACGATGCATATCTTACACAAACCACCCCCTATCACAGAGTTGGGTGTAAACTAACAAACTGCAAAATCTGTCATCGTCAAGCCATTTTTTGAGAAATTTACGACGACTTTGTCTAACGGTATCCAAAATCGTCACGTTTTTCGGACCATCCGAAGTTAGATGACTGTATCTCTCCGCATCGGGAAGCTGCGTATGTTTCTTAAGAATAAATCCAAGATCGTTTGTTTTTCCTTCTTTGAATATTAGTTTATCTTCGGGAAGAGAAGTGATAGACGTAACTGACTTAACCGGTGCATCCACAGCCTGAGTAGCGCTTATTGACGTTTTTGAGGAAAGCGACTCTTTATTCCGCTGAAAAAAACTAAAACTATCGAATTTCGCCTGTTTAAATTTAGCCATCGCAGTAATTTGGTCATCAAAATCCAAGCGTTTCGAATATAAAACCGACGAGAACAAACCAAGACCGAGTGACTGACCGAAAGCTAACGAAACAGTCTTTCCCAAACTGCTCATAAGAGCGAACGACCAAGTCTTTGTGACGTAACAATGAAAATCAGCGAGCGTGACGAGACAAGATTGCCACAAAACTGGTGGATTAAGAATGGAATTCTCGAAAAATTTGGGGGGGGGGCTTGGCCCCCACCACCCCCCTGATAACGACAAACAGGGTCCTGTCTGGATTTACAGATTTGTCAGTATCCTTTTTATAATAATCCAAGACAGACGAGTGACCAGACAAACAATATCCGTTTAGACTTTAGTTAGATAGACTGAAGTAACAATGCTGACACTGTATATAAGACATAGTTAAGTCTGTAACCTAATTGGTGTACTGAGATAGTATGTTGTCAATTGTCAACCCCAGAACAGCAAATGAAGGATAAGACATCAATATAAATACGCATATTCGTAGTTATTTGTCAAAGTAGGAAAAACATCGGTTCAAAATTGACAGATTAATCTAATGTTATCCTAATATCATAGTTCTGTTTCTGACAGATTTACTGGCTATTTGATTTGAAATAAAATAAAAAACATATATATTTGAACCAGAATCGCACTTTGCTTTTATAACTTTAGTCAAAATAATGTGTCATTTAAACAAAATATAACTCACGTAATTTATTCTTCAGAAAATTGTACAGTATCAGTACACCGGATGGAAAGCTGACAAATCACCATGTGATATTTCTTCCGTTCTTGAACTTGTTAACAAAATGCACGAAAATCTTGCGCAAACAGAAGCAAGTGCAGCGCTGGTTCACTGCAGGTAATTGATTGATGACATCTCATACCATCGTCCCACAAACCTAACAGTAGATTGTGCTCTGCGTGCAACTTTCCTAAAGTTGTAAAATGAGTTGCCAGATCGCAGAAGGTCAAATATGGAACAATGTTAGTATGTGGATGCCAAAATACAGAATTTTTCATCCATGACAAGAAACTGCAAAAACCAGCAGCTAAGATTTATTTTGAAATAATAAAATCCAAAATGTCTATTACTTTTTATGCTGCCAAGTTTCAAGCACAGAATCTTATTATTTGAGTTAACTTGAACTTTGGCGATCGAGATATATCGAGGCCACACCGATAGCAGACAACGAGAATCGGCGAAAAATGGCAACGGCAAGATATATATATAACTTGAAGTGTTTGGTCTCTTTATTGACCACTTTTTGAATATTTTTATACGGTGACGCTATTCAGACAGAAGTATTACGAAATGTATATTAATTTTATTCCAAAGTTAGGTCACATTTTCTGATACTCCAACGTTAGTTGCCAAATGAGATAATTGAACTACAGAAGAGTGCGCCTGTCCCTCTACAACAGAGTGTACCACCAAAGATAATATTCCTTACATCGTTATTACAGCGATGGGGCCGGCCGTACTGGTGTTTTCTGTGCAATTGTCAACCTTATTGCGAGAGTCAAGAACGAAAACAAGATTGACGTGTTTCGGGCGGTGAAAGATTTGAGGGACTGTAGACCCGGCATGGTTCAGACCCTGGTACGTTACTACTTTATCTGTGACAAGTTTTGTAAATATACGTTATAACGTACGTGATTCAAATAATATGATTTCTAATATGATAATAAAATTTACTTTTCTCTAATTTTACCAGTCATTCCACAATGTTTAACATCTACCGAATTTGTTAAATCTACATGAATTATGCCCATTTGTGCTACGTGTGGTTTATTATAAAATTAGTTTGTATTGGTGTAATTGGGCGTTACAACCACCCAACGACTTATCGTCGTTTCAAGCAATTTCTAAACGCCCCATCCGCTAATCGATACTCACGAAGTATGTGTACCAGGTTAGGGCTAGGCCATAATTTTATTTCGATTTTACTCATTTTAGTTCTATAACAAGTTCGGGGACTGTCTGTGTTAGCCATGTGAATATACCCCCCTTGCCCACAGGTTCCCTTTACATAACTTGATGTAAAATAGGCGACAAAATTAGTTATCTTCATATTGGTAGACACACTTCTGGAGCGCTCGTTCAGCTATTAGATTTTCAATATAATATTATGTTATTTGTTATATATATTTTTGCATTGAAGAGCAATTATTTTCCTTTCTGATTCAGAAACAATATAATTTCTGCTACGAAGCCATCTCTTCTTTTCTGACAACGTCCAACCTTTATTGCGACATCAACGACAAAGAAGAAGAAAGTGAGGACCCTGAATTACATCCATATTCTGACATCGATATTAATGAAGTAGCAGAAGTATCCACGGACAAAAAGAAATAGCATAGCATTTTCTAAATGCAAATTTATATATCAATAACATTGAACTATGTATATATACTAGTATGTGTAATAGTTTTTACGGTTATATATGTCTATTGGCAGTTGAGATGGCGGGATTGATGACGCAAAAATTTTTCCCAATATGATTCATTTTTCCACGGTAACACAACTCCCAAATATAAGTCGAAGTAGCATAATATAATGATCTCGCAAAAACCTCATTGAAAATAAATTCAATTTTAAAATATCAGAAATAAAATCTTTCCGTTGCGCTATAATCTATGACTGAAAACTCATATTTCTGGCAAATATGATACATTGTGTCAATAAAGTTACTTTATTGAAAACTTATACTTTGACTACATGTATGAACGTATTGAAATTAGGAATAAAGAATTGGAACTTTCAAATATACATAAGAAAACTTCTCAAAGAACAAACATAACTAATATGAATTATCGATATATATTACTGATTTTTTCTTTTTACGTTTTTTACTTATTGAGTTGCAACTACACTCAAATACATATATATTCACTTTATCACGATGCAAGTTTTATCAGCAAGTTCAGTATGTGTAAAGGCGTACTTTTTAAATGTTGTTTTCAATGTTTCAATATTGTTTCAATTATGCACAACTATATATATTCAGTCACAAGATATATATATATATCCGTGACAGAATGCATTTTAATTTTGTTTCTATTATTTGGTATAAGATAAAATATATGCAATAAAACCGGACTCAAAATATACAAATCGAATGCAATTAGTACGTATTTATAAAAATCTCGGAAATAGAAATAAAAAACTGTTGATGGAAGTTTATGCAAACCAATGTCATGAAACATCAGCTGAAATGATATTACTGGTATATGCCACACTGATACAGCAATGTCAATATGAGATGATAGGTCGGATAAAAAAAAATATAACAGCGTCGCGTAGGCCTATGAAAAATGATGACAATAATACAGTACTAGGAGTAAAAAAAACATATGAGTAATATTAATAAGGAAGTCTTGAAACATGTTCTGAACTTTTCTAACTGTTATGCGAAGGGAAGAATTTTTATTTCCGACTATAATTTAAATTTCAGTGGCTGACTACTTTATTTGCTCTCAAAACAACTATGACTAAAAGCAATTTTTAATTCTTGGAGAGCTACCAAAAAAAATACTAATTATCATAGCGCAGACGTCTGTTGACTTTGACCCTGTGAAACAGGCAGATGTTGGAAATAAACAAACGAGCAGTAAACTGTGCCTTTAACGTATTTAAGGGACCATAAGGCGTACTTTAAAACGTGCGCCTCATGAGGCAATGCACCTAATGTATGGATCATTTACTGCTTTATTGCCCATACTAAAATCCAGTGGCGTTATTGCTTTAAAAACAGTTCCGTCTTATATGTAGCCTTTATGTATGAATGAAAATTCAATCTAGGTGATTTGATAGTGCACGTTATAATCATTGTTTGCGAAAAAACACATTGACTGGATGATTAGGAGGCCTCAGTCTTATAAGTTAAATTGGCCTATTGGCTAAAAAAGTAGTTTGTCATCCAAATTTTACTAGAGCTTTCAAATTTCTGTTAATTGCTTCTGAATATTAGTGCTAAACGCCAATGCTTATAACCTTGTTAAAAAGGTGTGCATCACGATTTCACAAAATTTCGAAAGTACATTTCAAGTTTGTTTGCCACTGCCTTCATTTGGTTCATAATCAGTATTTTAGTCTGTGTTTACATAAGTTTTTATATAAAATATTGCGCGCCTTATCTGTCATTACGTCTATCGGCACTTGTTATTGCCCCAATCGCCAAAAATTAAGTCGATAAAAAGCAACATGGAACTATCAATCGAGATAAAAATAAATTAATTTATGAGCATGGTGCTTTGTTAATACACTATACTGCTCTCTGTGGATTTTACAATTTATTGGATAATCATTTGATTCATATTCAGGTAGTTGCACTGTGGAGGATTAAATGATATGCAACATCTTATTGATCTATTAATTATTGAGTTGAGTATTGAGTATTATTAAACTGGAGCTATGGATCGTTTTGTTATAGAGTAATGTTGTAGTTAATATTCTCATTCACCAATGGACCAATTGCTTCGAAATTTTTAGTGGTTAAAGATTGTATTTTTTACTGAAAATCTGTTACTTTTATTTATTTTTAAAAAAAATTTGTGAGATCTGATATTTCGTCTAAAATGCGCTGCATAATTTTCACTCAGGGAAACATGTTTTTATGATATCGTAATGCCTGTCTTCCACTTTTTATGACATCGTATCATTGGTCTGTTGTGACAGATTGCATACCCGTACTACGACGTTTTAAACTTTGTGTCCATATATTTTTTGTTTTAATAATTCAATACAATTAGTGTGTTGGAATGTGTACTCATGTCTGAATGGCGTAAATCGGTTTATCAAAGCGAACCTAGCATGGGAATATGCACCTGCTTTACGTCAGCAAAAACAAACACATTTTCTCAAATTAGTATAGTTTCGTGTAATTGTTTACAAGTGACGTATTACTTGAATTACTTAACAGAAAATTATCATCTAATCGTGGCCTATGATATATCATAAATAAAAATGCTTCATTTTATTTTAAGGCCATAGACGATATGTGATGGAATACATTTATTTTAATTTCAAGTACCTTGTGGCCTCCTATATTCGCGATCGCACGATAGTTTCTTGGCAGATAAGAAGGAATGTATTTTCTTGACTTTTATATGCTATATATGATGTGCGGATGACACAGAGATATAAATATATGTTGCATTAGTCTGAAGACTTATAATAGAAAACATTTAGTCATAAAATATTGGAGGAAAGATGAACTCGTGCCAACACAAATTTGTTCGCGGTTTTATTTAGGGTATTATTTGTAGAAATATGTATGTGTCATATATGGGCCCCATGTCCACCCGTGTTTTTCCGAATTAGGTACGATTGCGATCTGATAAAAATCAAAACAATTGAAAAAAATACCATGTGATATCTAAACTCATTCAGTTTGTTCTGGAAAATGCTTAAAATATGACTGAAATTTGCATTGAAAGCCATAGCATATTACAGCTTATCTTCGCGCTATATTATTTACCAACGTAATTGTTGTTTTAGATTATTCCTAATATTGTTAATCTTAATTTGCTAAAATGTTTCTACTATTGAGTTTCCTTCTTCAATCGTCAATATGGATGACTGCATTGGGTAAGTGATGTTGTGATTATTTTTATCATTTTTATGTATATATTAATAAACTGATTCCTTTTTTGATTTTTGTATTCAATATCGGCTATTTTAACTTAGTTCAATTATATATCACGGGATATCAGAATTTGCAAAACGAATAGATTTCTGTGAATTCTTGTTGAACAAGAAATCTTGTTATATATATATTTGCTATGTTGTTTTAGATTTTGTTGCTGTTTTCGAGGTGCGTAGAAAATATCTTTTCTCCGCTTGACTACAAACAGATTAATTAATTTCAAAATCTCAGTATTTAAAGGAAGCTATTACTCATTTTTCGAAGTTATATTTCTATTCATAATTTGTTTTGTTTTTATTTGAATTCACGAGAACACTTTTATACCACGTATGACTTTCTGTTCTAAATCAAGGATACGAATCAGTATGTTATGGTGATCTTGGATGTTTCACTAACGAACCTCCATGGGGCGATACTCCACAGCGGCCACTGGAAATCCTACCAGACGACCCTTCCAAAGTCAAAACCAACTTTTACTTGGATACCAGACAACAATACGACAGACAAATTTACTATAACGATATGTTGTCCATCTCGTAAGTTAATTGAAGTAGTATAATCTAGTAGTTTACCAAAACTGAATTGAAACATGATCTTTATAGAGTTGAATCGGATATGCCGTGTTTCCCCAAAAATAAGACTGGGTCTTAGTTTATTTTTCTTCCGGAAAATAACACTAGAGCTTATTTTCGGGGGATGTCTTATATTTTCATTTATCAAAAACAAGATTACAAGTAGAGATTTACGATATCCATTTACTTATAAATAATACGTTTTTATTCCAAATAACTGCAAAACATTGGTTATGTCACGGTAGAAAGATGTAGCTACCGTGTGTATTGAATCAGAAGACTCAGATTCCGGATTTGTGGTTTATTCTGAGGCAGCTTCACAGTTAAAAACACTTAAAACAGCGAACACTGGAAAACACGACCGGCCGCCAGCGCGGCGAAAGGAAAAGAGACGGGAAGCTCTTTTTTCTCACGACTCGATGGTGGTCGGAGTCTCACAGTAACCGGACCCGGATGAAGTATATCCAAATTAAGGGTGATAAAATGATGAAATCCGTGATAGTTATTAACCATGTAAAACGTGTAGGAGAGATTTCTTGCTATCGACTAGGTCGAAAAAAATATTTGCGTTGTTGGCTATGGGCTCTTATTTTAAGGAAAGGGCTTATATTAATATCATTTTTAAAATTCAGTCTAGGTCCTATTTTCCTGGTAGGTCTTATTTTCGAGGAGACACGGTATCTTTTGGTAGTCAACTTGATTCGATAGTCCTAAAAAGTTTGGTTTGATTGTAATTGGTTACGACTGGCAATATTTTTGTTCTCTTTTTGGTGTTAAAACCGAATTTATGGTCATTTCTTTCACCACATTTATTGCTTTGTTTCTCGAAGTGTGTTTATTTGTTCATTTGCATGAAATAATCCTTTTATGATATCGGAATGCTCGTTGAAAAATTCTTCAGTTGAACATGTACATATTAACAGTATTTGCGGGAAGTTGATATTAAAACTCCAGGCATAGGTCAGTGGTAATATAAGTTTTGAGATTGGTAAAGACATAGACAACATCTTTTGACGCCGAACTTAACAACATTTCCGCTCTCCGATAAAAAAGTCGCGTTTGTTGCTGATACCAGTTAGTATTAGATTTATTTGAAAGTTGCCTAAGTTATTTGCTCATGTTAACCATCATGCGAATATATACATAATGGCTTTATATTCAAAATATTACACTGTGAACTCTTGGAAAAACTTTTTAACATTTATTATTCCAGTTCGTCAACTTTCGACCCAAGTCGTTTTACCAGGTTTATAGTACATGGTTACGTCGATAATGGAGATGTTGCATGGTTGAGTGAGATGTCTAACGCATTTCTTGCTGTAAGTTTTTTCATATTCTTGAAATGTTATTTTATGTTTGTATATTGTATTGGAAGGAATTTAATATTTATACACAAGGCAAACTTATGAAACTCAATTATGTATGCAACTTAAGTGCCAGTGCGGAATATAATATAGGAACCTAAAATAATATATATATTTATGAATAAAAATTCTTCGGTGCTATTTTAGCGTGAGGTCTACCGCCATATGTAGCCTACACCTTATAAAACAATCATAAAATACCAAAATAATGTATGTTTTAGATATCGCAATATCGTTGCAAATAGCATTGCAAATAAGGTCGGTCTACTCTACTCAAATTATAACCATTTGAGCGTTAAGTTAAGAGTTGTCTAAAACATATTTTTTGCTCAATTTTAATACATACCGATGGTATGGGCAAGATAGCCTGGAGGTTAAAACGTTACGTACCTATCTACTTTGGTATCGTCTTTAACATAACTCGGGCCTCAATCAATCACAACCACCTTACCCCCAGGATGTATTAAATTGGGTACCAAATGCGGAACTGGAAAAATGCATGTACAGAGTCCTTTTGTAGGGAAAAGCATATAAATCTTCGTATATGTCACCAAAAACACTTCGTCGCTCTGAACAACTTCTAAAAATTAGTGTATATTTCACTTCTTTCCAGACAGGAGGCGCCACTTTCTTTACTTACATCACCGTAGGTCTACCACTTGAGGGATAATACAGTGATAGACCTCACGCTAAATTTCTAACCTTATAGGGTAGACCTCACGCTAGAGTAGCACTGAATATTTCTTGGTAGAATGAGTTATGTGCATACCTCGAGAATAATTATCCTCATCATTTTTACAGCAATGCCTTTCCATAAATCATATTCCGGGTTGAATAGGGCACTTTGTTATTTTCTTTTTTGTTTGTAATAAATTAGAAAGGCAACGAAAATATCATTCGAGTTGGTTGGATGGGAGCATCTCTCCAGTTGAACTACGCAAGCAGCGCTGTAGATACCCAGATTGTAGGAGCCGAAATTGGAAATTTTATCAAAAATTTAATTGTAAGTTGCCAGAATATTTAAAAGCTGACTTTTACAAAAGTCCTCCCGCAAATATATTTTCGTACTTTCCGCGTAAGAAAATCCTAATTCGTGATAATATATACAACGAAAGATGGCAAAATCAGGAATTTTATCAGTAGTTAAACCGTTTTAATCGACAGAACCAAAAAATAATAATACAAAAATATAGTCTATTTTGTATATTTCTGCAATAAAAACACTCATAGATGGATCTTGTGATTCCCCGCATATTATTTCGTGATTTGCACGGAGCAATTATTCGCCGCAACCTAAGTACTGCAACTGATGTACATACGCTGCTTCCTCGCATTTTCTTAATTTGAAAACTACCTAAAAAGATTATTTAGAATTTCTTATTTTAAAATGGTATTGTCAGCCAAGATTCCGACTTGAACTCAGTTTTGATTCCAGGCTCGTGCACGGATAGTTTTTACGTAGCATTTCATAATTTATTCTAAATTTGCAATTGTTATGATTTTATTCTGCAGTCAGCATTCGGAATGTCACCGTCTCAGTTTCATTGCGTCGGTCACAGTTTGGGATCTCACACTTGCGGATATGCCGGGAACAGAGTCGCTAGGCTCGGAAGAATTACAGGTGTGAAACGATGTCCTCCTCTTCTGTTTCTTTATTGGTACTACCGTAATATGTGAACCAAGGAGGCGGACACCGTAACGTAGTATGTGTACCAGATTAGGATTAGGCCATAATTCAAGGTACAATTACTACGTCGGTCACTTGGCTAGTCCCCGAACACTTAATAGAACTAAAATAGGAAAAATTGGAATAAAATTATGGCCTAACCCGGTCCTGGTACACATACTATGTTAATGTATCCGACATCTTGGTGCACATACTACGGGAGCGACTCTTTTTTTGCTGCGAAAAAGGCCCCAACAAGCGGCCACTAATATATAACGATCTCAGAGGAGATACTATTTTAAATGGAACAAAAGACAGTTAAATCTAACAAATTACCTTTAGGTCACCGCACCCCGAAAAACTAAACTGCTGCTCCTCCTTTCCTGTGCAAAAAATACTTTATTTGTTCAATCTTCTATGCTAGTTGCAGGTGTTATGTACAATACTCATTCCCGTTTTTTACAGTTGAAGTAGTTTGTCATGAATGGAGTTCATGGATAAGTATCATAGTAATATTAAAAAAAAAACGAAAGATATCAATAATACTACAGCAAATAAAAGCAAAATTCCTCCCATAAAACTGCAAAAATCCTTCTTTTGGGGGAAGGGGTATGGATCTTAAAGGAGATTCAATTTTAGTAGAGCGATGCGTTCTCAAAAGCGCCTAAACAAAACCCTTCAAAACTAACTTTTTCCACCTATTACCACTGAATATTACATGTTATAGGCCTCGATCCAGCGGGCCCGTATTTTGAAGGAACCCCCGCTGAAGTTCGGTTGGACGAGACAGATGCCGACTTTGTTGATGTAATTCATAGCGATGCGGAAAAAATCACGGATATGGGTCTTGGCACCGGTGAACAATCAGGCCATGTAGATTTCTGGCCAAATGCTGGATACCAACAGCCCGGTTGCGATCAGGTCACTGTCATTACATTATATGTAGATCAATATATATGATATTTTTATCCAGTAGTTAAACGTGGATTGCAATGACTCTTAGGTGCATGTTTATTTGGAAGCACCATTAACAGCCAATAAGTTATGCGGAATAAAAAAAAATACCTGAGTAATTGAAGTGCAAAGCAAATTTGTAGATAGAGGAAGAGGTGCAATGATAAAGCTAAAGCAAAATTTTGTTTCCACTCTCAAGTAAAGTCATTTTGCAGGCTTGTCTATGGGACATATTTTTCTGTCCCATTTCCATCCCATAGCAATTATGCCTGTCCCATCACATCCCATGGGATTCCCATTAGAAAAAAATTCAATAAAAATTGTTACATTTAAGTTTACGAAGAGACATGCAACACAACAAAATTTACGAACTTTGTTAACTTTATATTCATAACTATTATGCATGTGTCCATCATTCCCTTCAAGAAGTATATGGTTAAGGCTGAATATACTTTGCTCTTTATAACTAACAAGAGAGCTATGTTCAAATATATGGATACGAAATCCAGGACGAAATGTTTTACTATCATTTTCCTGAAAAGCATACGATGCTCGTGTCCCATGGGAAATAAAAATGTGAGCTGTCCCATCCCATGGGAATCCCATTCCCATGGCCATTTTGTATATAGCTCGTTATCATATTCGATTAAATATGATTAACATTTCATACCGTATTCGAAATCTCCAATAGGCTAATTTTGAACTTTATCTTGAAATCAAAATGAATTTCTTTTCACGTTCGAGCCTGGCTATATACAGTATATGTTTTTTCAAATGGCTATTCGGAATTTCCAAGGTTTCGCCACCCATCAGTATGTTAAATGTTATTGAGTACAAGTAACACCATCTTTCTAAAATTCCCTCCTTTTTTAGATATTTTAGAAATGTTCGCATTTTGCTTATAAGCACAATAACTTACGTGGGTTAAAATGCTTCATTCAATAACACAATATTAATAAAAAATATATTTAATACAATTATTCTTATATATAAAGAATGCTCTTTCCACAATTATTGGTATCGACGGGATTACAGATGGAACGCGAGATTTTGTTGCCTGTAATCATATCAGAGCTGTGAAATTCTTCACTGAATCGATCACGACAACATGTCCTTTCAAGTCATATCCTTGTCTTAGTTATAACGAGTTCTTAGCAGGAAAATGTTTGGATTGCGACTCTACGGTAGGTCTTAGTAATAGTGTTGCTTATTATAAGAATTTTCGATTGTGAGTAGAGGATTTAACATAATTTTTCAACAGTAGTTGGAGTGATCTCAAGTCGATAGAAAGTTACTCGTTTATTACGCAAACAAAAAATATCCAGAACGGCAACTTTTGAGTGATTATGGACAATAACATATTTCGTGTGTAAGAGCCCCATCCCAGAGAAAATAGAACGCTGTGAATCAATTCTCTAAATTATATTTTTGATAACAATTTCTGAATAATAATTGCCGCATTCAATTCAAACTTATTTTTTTAGGATAGAACAGGATAGGATTTTATTATTTATCCCAGTAGAAAAGAAAGGCTGCTTAATTACACGGTGAAACAAGGTCTCTCGTCCGGTTACCGGTTCATGTCGGGTATGAGAATAGTTAACCAGTTATTTGTTTCAGATGCATGTTTTGATTAGATATATAATCGTTATTCACATTCTTATAGAATTTATATTAATTGAATCCACTTCAAAATAAAATATTTTTCTGTTATAACGCCACCTCTTATACGATTTCAGGGTTGTCCTCAGATGGGATATCATGCTGACAAATATGCTTCACAAGTATACAAAGCCCAGACCTATTTGTCTACCAATGCCCTTCCACCGTTTTGTGGTAAGTTGAATTCCGACTTGGTTTCACATATTAAAATAAGAACAAAAATTGTTACTCCCGTAGTATGTGTACCAGGTTAGGGTTAGGCCATAATTTTATTCCGATTTTCCTTATTTTAGTTATACTACGAGTTCGGGAACTGTATGTGTAACCAAGTGAATACACCCCCTGCCCATGGACTTCAGCCCCTTCACACAACTTGATGTGAAGTAGGCGAACAAAATTAGTTACCTCTATATTGATACACATGCTCCTGGAGCGCCAAAATAAGAACAAAAATTATAGTCAACTCATCCAAATTGGCATTGTCATATTCTTGCTGCAGAAACATGGATAACTAATTCTTAACAGCAAAGTAAATCACGGCAACCGCTTTCAAATTAGAATAGTTATATAACATGCTTATATTAAGAGATATAATAAATTGTTATATTTTCGCTGCAGCAAATATTTATTACAACTAATTCTTGATACGGTAAATCGATTGTATAAATCAATCAAATTATTTTCATATCAACCATCAGTCATTAATATCAGCGCATATACTTAAATAAAATGCTGCCTGGTTAAAACACAGAGTACATGTCTGATGTTGGAGTGAGACTCGGTTCCAACAGCAAAAGTATAGATGGAAGCTTGTACCTCACCTTGTACGGTGCCAACGGGAATACTGAACAACAACAGATTGGCGGAGCAGAGTAAATTGATTTGATTATTCGAATGACATTTTACTAGATGGGTACTCAAGCACGCGAGGTTTTGTAGAATTATATGAAGTAGAAATAGTATTTGTGAGTGTTATATATTCCTACGCGATTTCGTAGGAATATATAAAGAAGAAGCGGTATTTGCGTAAGCATTGGAAATTATGCAATAAACATTAAATATAACTGCTACTTAGGCTTGCACGTAATTTACGGAATTATGAAATTATTTCGAGTTACAAATTACGTAAAGTCGTAATTATTGGTCGAGCGCTTTCGCGATTGAAGCGAGCTCTCCCCAAAGCATTCAATTCAGTCGATTGTAAAAAGTGAAAGTTTAATAAGTAGAAGAAGTTAGAGCTTCGATATTCGCAGCCGTTTGTTACGCATGTGGGGGAAGGCATGACGCTCTCAGAATGAAACGAATTTACCGCCGTTATGTGCGCGCAAAAGGAGAGAAGGGGACTCTATTTTCCCGACTCAATGACTTATATTAATACGAATCTCAGCGCATTAAAAAGCAAAATAGAATTTATTAGCATCAATTTACGTGTTAGGGGTAAAAATTTACCGACGGCTATTGCTAACCGGTAACAACGATAATCGTGAAAAAAAAATACCTTGCTTTTTTGCGTCGTATTTTTCAATTCCTAAGTTTGCATGAAGCGTGTCAACACCGTTTTTGTAAATTTAGAAACGTTGAACCAGATAAATAAGACAGGTAAAGAAATATTTATTTTCTTTTATTTGTATTTATTTTACTTTTATGTATTATTTACTTGTTCCAGTTTGCCGTTACAAATGGTATATATATTTTTATAGTTGTCCGTATTTAAATAGTGGGAATTCCCCACCAAGTGTTGATTAACAATGCTTAACCATTCTTTATTGTTAATATCAACACTTGATATATGAACCATGGAATATCATACTGTTTTATTTCGACTTGGGGTATAAATAGTAAAATATCCATTTTCTTTCAACACGACTGTCGATTTTTAGGTTTCTCGTGCGAAATTTAACGAAGCACTTTCGCGACGAATCGCAACCGAAAAAGCGAAAAGAGCGATTGATTGCTCGGCGCCAATACGTCGCCGTAATAATTAATGTCGCGCTTATCAAACAGCAATAAGACGACGGAAAAGAAATTGCGCATAAAACCAACGCAACTTCGTCTTTTCGACATCAGTAAAGAGATTGAGACGACAGAGAAACAACAAAACGACGGGATTTCCCGCGGACCGCTATAAATTATTTGCGGACCGGTGCCGGTCCGCGGACAGGCGGTTGCGAATCACTGTTCTAGAATATTTGAATCGAATCCAGAATCCTAATCTATTTTTATAGTTACCCGTATTTAAATAGTGGGAATTCCCCACCACAATGCATGATTAAAATTGAAAAAAGCTAAATTGTCGCCTAAATGTATAACTATATTTGTACAGTATTAAATTGGAAATGTCCTGATCATTAGATTATATTTAACCAAAGCAACGAGATTAATTCAACAGTTCAATATTCTCAATTTAACTACTATCAAATATAATCAAGCATGAGCCAGTGTGTACCACCGGCACTCGACCAAACTTGGTCAATGTTGGCCGATAGGATCGTCAACTTGAGTTAGAAAAATAGGTTAAATTTTCCGTGAGTGCAAAATAAATATCACAAAATGCATTGTTTTGCGATATAACTTTGTATATTCGGAAAAGGCATGTTATATAAGTACAGTATTTAAATTATGCGCAAATATTTAATATTTGATCTAAATTTATCGCAAATAATGTTATAACATTCCGGCCGCAAAATGATTTTTTTTTTTTTAATATGCGGATCAGAATACGATTTATCTCGGATCAGTATCTTCTTGATACGTCATCTTCGATTCATAACGTTATGACGCTTTATAAGCATGTTGCTTCAAATGCAATCATGCATATTGGGGGCTGCTACGTACATAACAGTTAACACCCCTCAAGCTTCAGTATCTTCATCTCCGCTGGGTCGTTTGATGGTATTACTTTCGTTCATGCTACCATGGTGAGCGTGATGGGGTAGTATAAAAAACGATGGATTTAATGTCAGTTTGGGCATAGTGGCTTTTTACAGCCGTGTTCAAGTCTTGTTATTGTTTATTTTGAGCCACTCTTCAATTCTTTCTATCTTCCTAATATCACTTTGGGTCCCTTTCACATTTTTAATTCTCCATATCACCTTATTGATTATTTTTCTGGTCAATTCACTTTCTATATTATGCCTTTCATTTAATTGGAGTTGTTCCTGAGTTTTGTATAGTTTAATCTTGAGATTGTATATTTCTGCTTTCAGAATGTTTACTGTTATTTTCACTATTAGTTGGTTTTCTCCTATATAATTATTGTAGTAGATTGTCTTTTTCAAAAAAGGATGATGTATACCGAATACTGCATTTAATATATCTTGGATGTTATAGATTATTCGCCATGTAAGGGGACATTCTGTTAATAGATGTTCAGAATTATCTTGTTTGCTATTACAGAATTGACAATTCAGACACACTCGTTTTCCTTCAATTGAGTGCAACAAATTGAATCTTTTCCTTTTTTGACCATTCAGTACTCCGTCGTGCGCCAATCTATATGAAATTATTTTCTCTTCATTTGTTATAAAATTGTTGACATCCTTTTCCTTTCCTAGAACTTCTTTCCAATTTATATTTTCGTCTATCGTTTTGTTCTCTACGGCCGAATTTAATTCAACTATATTTTGGTATAACTGTTTGAAAGAGATTGTTTCCCATTCTTCGTTAGTAATACCAATTTTTTCTGTCATGTCTAAGTATTTTTTCCATATTACTGGTTTCTTATCAGAGTGTGGCATCTGGTTGGTGTAAATTCCTTTATTAATTTTGTTGATTCTCGTTCCTAGATTATATAGTTCAATAGTGTGCCAGATTTCTTTTGGGTGGTACAAGTTTTTCATTATTTTCACTTTTTCAAGGTTGCATGCGTCGATTTTACTTTTTATGCATGGCATTCCAATACCTTCATTTCTAACCTGACAGATTAATTTACCTTGTTTTATTAATTGTATTTTTTCAGGATGCCACAGAAATTCAAAAAATATTCTATTGAGTTTCATTCTTTGCCAAGTAGTGATCGGGATTATTCTGGCATGGTAAATTATCTGCGATATGCACAGCGCGTACAATATTTGCAGTTTACCGAGCCATGTGCAATTACGAGTCGAATTTCTTTGCAATATGTTTCTTACTTTTTTTTCTTGCTCTGTCCAAGTTTTTGTCGTGTAATCTTTGCCAAATATTTTTCCTAATATCGTAGTGTTTTCGCATACATATTTTACGTAGGGAGTATGTTGTATTCTTGTCTTGGCTAGTGTATTTGAGCACAAGATTTTTGTTTTGTTGTCGTTAAGGCGTTGGTCTGTTATTTTCTCATATTTTTTTAACTCCATAAATGTCTCTGCTATGTCCGGTATAGTGACTGCAAAAGTGGTATTATCGTCGGCAAATTGGTTTGAGATGACCTTGTGTTTGCCCAAGGTAAATCCTTTAATTGACTTGTTTTCGGTTATGTGTCTTGCAAGAGAATCTGCCGTTACCGCGTATAGATACATACTTAAAGGTCATCCTTGCCTTATCCCTCTGCTGTTGTATATTTTCTCAGTAGCTGTTCCATTGATTTGTATCTGGCTATATATGTTATTGTACATTTACCTTATCAGGTTTTGTATCTTTTTATTATATCCAATTTTCTCCATAATTTTAAATAGGAATTTTTGATTTACTCGGTCAAATGCTTTTTCTTGATCAAAGCTGATAATGTAGCATGGTGTGTCCTGAGTTTTAGAGTATTCCCAAATGGTTTGAATGTTTCTCAAAGAGTCAATAATTGATCTACCTAGGGTGGTACATTTTTGTGTATCTAAAATATATTTTCCTGCTATTATTTTCATTCTGTTTGCTATTATTTTCGCTATTATTTTATAGTCAACATTCAGGTTGGATATAGGTCTATAGTTTTCTAATTTCTGTGAGTCGCCCTTTTTCAATATCAGCGTTATACTCGCGTTCTTTGTACTGCCCGGTAAGAGACTGAAGGCTATAGCATCATTTATAAGATGATTCAAATCCTTTTTAAGGAGTGAGTAAAAGGTTTGATAGAATTCCTTAGAAAGCCCGTCTGGTCCTGGTGTTTTATCATTATCCATATCGTTTATAGTTTGCTTAATTTCCTCATCTGTTACTAATTGTCCCATTTTTTCGCTTTCTTGATCCGTTATCTTCATGTGCTTGTAAATATTTAAATAATCGTCCATCAACTCCTCATTGGGATTAGTTTCTTGTTTACACAGTTTTGAATATAATTCGTACGCCACATCAAGTACATCTTCTTCCATATTTGCTATTTCACCCGTCTCTTTATACAGACTTTCAATTGAAGTTTTTCGCTTTCTCTCCTTAATTTTATCAAAAAAGTACTTCGATGGCTTCTCATTTTTTTTCTAAGTGTTCTATTTTAGCGGTGCGGCATTTGAATTCTATTTTCCTCCTTTCAATTTCTTTTAACTTTTTTATTTGCTGGTAGATTTCTGGGTTCGAAATTTTTGACTCAACAGTTTCAACAATTTTTTGTTTGATATCTTTTTCTTCTTTCTTTCTTAAATTGGTATCTTTAATGCCATACTTAATAAGAGCTTTCTTAAATTTGTACTTTAAGTTATCCCACCACTCGGCAATTGTTTCGTACATATCTTTGTTCTCTTTTTCAAATTCATATATATCTAGTATCATTTCTAATACTTCTGTTTTACCGAAGCTTGATACATTATTTTTCCAACTCCCTCTACCCCAAGTTATTTTATTTGTTTCTCTGAAAGTTACATGTGCCGCAAAATGATGATCCGCTACTGTGTTTACTTTATAGTCTGAATTTTTTATTTCGTGGGCTATTTCTTTCGATACGTATATTCTATCAATGCGCCTTGATTTTGTTCAATTGTCACTGTGTACAGTATTTTATTTGGATGTAAGTACCTATAAGTGTCTATGTAACCGTAAGTTTCCGTATGCTCTTTCCATGCTTTAGCCGCCTTCTCTAGTATGAAAGTTTTATCTATTTTTGCATCTAATTTCGAAGTTATCATGTTAAAATCTCCACAAATTATTTTCACATTTTCGACGTCTTTAAGCTTCATGATGAGGTTCTGGTAGAATTTTTGCGTTACTGGTTTCTTGATATTGTGGGGCGCATAAATATTGGCTATTGTTATTTTTTCTTTGGTGGCTTCGTTTTTTATTTCAATAAAACTCATCCTTCCTGGTACAATAATAATTTGATGTGTTATTCTTGTTTTTTCGTATAATTCTTTTTTAATTAGTGTTGCCACCCCTAAGAAATAGTGCCTATCTCCCCGTCTAATTTCTGTTTGCCCTAAAGCATTTATGTATGCTTCGTATCCTAAGTTTTGTAGTAGTCGATCTATTTTGTTATTATCTATACGATGTACTTCTTGTATATTAATTATATCCGAGTTGTGGTGTTCAATGAAGCTGGTTAGTTTGTTCCAGTTTTTATGAATGATTTAATGTAAAATGAAGCATGGTAACCGGAATATCGTCAATAAGTCGGCATCAATAATTATTATGAAATGCTAACTAGGTAGTAAAGTCGGATAACGTAAAAAACGGTGCAATAACAAGTCTTCTTCGCGATGAAAGCGCGAGTATAATCAAACGAGAGAATATACTCTTGTCGTTGAATAATGAATTAGAAGCCCGAAATTTTTATTCTCTGCGAAAGTCGATTTGAAAAAAGTCAACTATCGTTTCATAAATATCCGTATACCAGTGTCGGTAATGATAAAATTGATCGCATAAAATTGGGACGGTTAATTTGCGAAGGTGATAAGGGGAAATCAAAGCTAACACCAAATATAAAAATCAGAATGAAATTAGTTTGAATTCACTCCTTGATATTTGTCTTTAACATCTGTCGTCGGCGTGTAGTACTGTCAGGGATATGAAAACCAAACTTCGATGTCTCATTCGGAAAATAAGTGGATTCAATTGGTTGTTATGATAGGTTTAAATGTGTGTAAAAGTATCGCAATTACGGGGTCATTACGTAATCGAATCTGCCGTAATTGACGAGTTGATTTTTGTCAATTACGCGCAAGCCTATGCTACATTGCTGTATAATAGCTAGGATTCCGTTTCTATCTTAGAAATGGTCAATTTTATCGTTTTTAGGATAGGTATGTAGCGATAGATCATGAAATGGTCAGGGATTGGAAGTACAATAATTCGTGCTGCCTTTTGCACGAGTTTGTGAAATATGATATAAAAATGGGGTATTCCCGTATAGTGTGTGTATCAGGTTAGGGTTAGGACATAATTATATTCCTTATTTTAGTTCTATTACGAGTTCGGGGACTGAATTGAATTTACAATTGAATATCCCCCCTGCCCATATGTTTCAGTCCCTTTCCACAACTTGATGTGAAGTAGGCGAACAAAATTAGTTACCCCCATATTGTTACACACACTCCTAGGGCGCCAAAAATTGAATTATAAAGATAACTAAATTCAGCCATATTTGTTTAGCACTGTTTACGAGCTTCGTCCGGGAGGATATCATAGTTCACTCGTATACTATGATTACAACCCGGGAACAATCAATTACGTCAAATTGCTATGGGAACAACAAGAAATAAATGTCGGAAGAGACTACATCACCGTTGATTACGTGACGGTGTGGGTGGGAGCTACCCAACAGCTGTGAGTGTCCTTGCCGTTAATATCAGAATACTATTTCAACTATACTAATACAACTTTTCGTACTCCCGTGGTATGTGTACCAATTTTTCTCATTTTAGTTGCGTTACGAGTTTGGAGATTGTCTGTGTTAGCCAAGTGATTATCCCTCTGTCCATAGGTGTCAATCCCTTTACAGAATTTGATGTAAAATAGACGAACAAAATTAGTTACCTCCATATTGGTATGTATACTTCTGTAGCGACCAACTTTTTTATATCACTCGACTGCCTGTCCGTATCAATGTGTTAAAAGGAACAATCTATTAAAAAAAATTTCAGTTAAGCTTCATAGAATATTCAAACATGTTTTTCAAATTTAATTCATTAAAGCACCTTATACCTTATGTATAAAATAATACTCTGTTTTACCAGGTTATGCTTTGGGGGAGATCCAACTGTTGAGATGTCCGAGAAAACAAGATACACTCTATCTCCTATATCTTGTTATTAAGAAAAGAAAATCCGTTTAAAAAGTTCAAATAAATAATTTAATCCGAGTGTTCAAATGAGTAAATAAAATTTTATCAACCTCACTTAATTTTATTTTTCTAATTCTAAGTATAATCTTGGAATATATGGGAAATCGTGCAAACGTGTTTGATTTTATACCGGAATATTTAAGTGTTGGAAAAGGATAGTTACAAATAAAAGCTAAAAAAAGGACAACCTATATTTGGCGCCAATTTCTTTTTATTGTTGTTTTTGATATGTTTTTGGATCTTATAAAATCAGCGGTCTTTTACGCAATTAACCAATTTGAACAAAAATTCTGTATATTTACTAACATACATAATATACAGTATTTACAAATAAAAATATATACAAATAAATTAATTATATATGAGTATTGACCCCAAATATTTCTGCTCAATACAAAAAATTCTCTAATAGTTTCCATCACGTTCATGTTACTTAGCATTAGCTCAAAAGTCAGTTCCAATTTGAGTTTTCTAACTTTGCGAATGACTCGAATTCTCTGGTAATTATATTGCTTGCACTGGGGGTGTGAACCGTGTGGGTTTTAAGATAATTAAATTGTTTATATAATTTTTAATTGGTATTGGGTTATATTGAACGTATTTGAATTTGTAATAAATAACTCATTGTGCTGAAATTGGTACCACATTTTTGTTAGAGTTTCCTGACTTTAATGTAGTTCCAACGCATATTTTGATGCGCAAATATTGACTAGATATTTCAAAACAAGTGTTACCCAATTTTGGACTTTCTATGTATATTTCTCACCAAAAACACGCTAGTTTATAACTTCTACAATTAATTCAGTTTATTTCTAATTATTGATCATAATAAAGTAACCTATGGATGGGATCCAAAAAAATTGTACAGGGAGATCTCTAAGCTAAATTCACTGCTAAGAACGGCTCATTTACTCGATACGCCAAGACGCTGGAAACCGTTGTTTTCACTTAGCTACGCATAGATAATTCAGTTCCATTTACGTTCCGTTTCATTATTTGAGAAAAAACAGTCCCTCAAAATATGCTATGAACTTTATTTTGGGTAATAAGCATTTTATGCCCATATAATGTATTTGAAAAAAGCAGTGTAAAAGCCAGCATTCAGTTTGCAAGTAATAGCCAAAAAGTTCATCGATGAAATTAAGCAAGCATCATTCCTTGATAATTATCATAATAATAATTATTCATCATGATTGATCATATAATCAATAAAGTATATCATATAAATTATAAGTCAGAAAGGCGTAATCCGTTTGGATTTAGCAAAGTAACCTAAATCAAGAATTTCAAGATTAATTATTTGACAGTTGTATAACTCATATACCTGCGTCATTCACCCCTGATATCCTTTTCAGTTTATCAAATTATATTACATATGATAAATGTTTTTGATTCCGTCAATTTATTCATCTTCCGTAGTTTCTGATTAATCACTCATAAAGAACAATTTCACAAAGAGGATGAAATCTTTCTTTCTCCGACATATTTTAAAAATCATCGAGCTCCGGCTGCCAAGCAATTTTGTCGCGTCCAGAACCAGTCTTTTGAAATTTATTACACCATTTGATTTCAAATTTTGCTTCTGAGTTGTCACTTGGCTACCACGTACATTTGCACGTGTCCATTTGTCCCGCGGAATTTGCACCCATGCACATTCGCGCCCGGGTACATTTGCACCCACGTACATTTGCACTCTCGTACATATTGCACTTGCAGACATTTACACCCACGTACACTTGCGCCATGGCCATTTGTAAAACAAGCCACAGTATTCAATTTACGGCAAAATGCTAGTTGACAATTAACGACTGACGCTTTTTAGCAGGATTGAAGTTATGGCAAAATGCTATTTAACAATTTACGACTGACCTTCCTTAACAGTATTGAAGTTACAGCGAAATGCTATTTAACGATCAACGACTGGAATTTTTTTAACTGTTACTCGGCGTCTTGACAAATCACCTTCCTGCTATGTGTGTGTTTGTGTTTGGTAATTAATGCAAAAAATTGTTCTTATGTTACTTGATTTTTTGTTCTTTTGTCTCCTGTAATACTGTATATGTATATATATTGTTGCCCTAACCCAAACAAACCTTAATAGAATTCCGTCATTGTTTTCCATCGTATAGTGCAGGGGTCACCAAACTTTTTTGACCGCGGGCCGGGTATGACTCAAACTGTGTTGAAACCGGCTGGACAAATATTTTTGTCAATGTAATACAATAAATTCACAAAAGTTGGGAAATTCATTCAATTTATTCAACAATATGTATTCTACATTTCTGAAGACTTGAATATTAAATTCTATCTATATCGCAGAATATAGATCGAGAACATCCTAGGAGAACAAATATACAAGATTTCTATATCTAGACAACTATCCTGAGTTTAGCTGTTATCAAAACGTTGCAGTCATGGATTAGGAATGTTACAAAATCCGCCTTTTCGCGCCAAAAAATGTACGCATCACGTACCATACGTACGTAAGTGCCGTTACGCCGTGTCGGAATACTGCTCATAAAAAATGACTGCGGACTGCCTGCTGTAGCATTGAATTCCAAGAAATATTGACATAATTAGATAAAATAAACAACTATTATCTGGTATTTGATTTTATAAATTCCCCAACATTCGGAGCTTTTGAAAATTACGCTCAAGTTATACGTAGTGCAAACTAATGATATTGTCCATGGGCACCAATAAAATTTATGTCGACGTGTGTATTTCTTTCCTAACTTGATACTTACCAATTTTTATGAAGTTTGTACTATCAGAACATTGTTAATTATTACCCCCAATGAATCACTGTCAAACTGTCATGCACAACTCCAGCGTTTATTTGCACGATCTTTCGGCGGTGTCAAGACCGTTGCCAGAATAAAATCCTGAAATAGTCTCAATATTCCATAGTGACGCAATCGAAAGGTTAGTGATTGATATATATGTACATTCATATTTATTACAGTTCTTATCAAAAAAGTAATAGAATCTTTATGGAAAAAATTGGCCTGTCGGGCGGTTCTAAAATTCCGATATCTCCGTAAACTTGGTATTGTTTTTCCTTTTCACTCAGATCTATCTAATGACGCAGTTTTTATTTAAATCGGATGAACTTTAATTTTTTTGTAACATACCTACATGAATATCCGCATTTAGGCAGTACAAAAGTTAGTGTGACTTGTGAAATTGGAGCAGTACGCGAGGGATTACAGTTACTGTTAGCGCGACGTGCACATTCGGCATTAATTTCAGCACAAGAAACGTAAACAGTTTCGCCCCACGAGTGCATCTTTCACAGAAACGTTGCGTACCCGGTAGAGAATTTTAGCCTATTTTGTCACAGCTATTTCTACACTAATTTTTCATTACTACTATTAAAACTACAATCCCTAAGGAGGCAAATGATGATTGACTTATTTGATTCATACTTAAATTTCCCAAACCCAACCAAAAAACTAACGAATAGCATTCAAAATCGCAAAAACGAATTATTGTTTACAACCACGACTGAAAATCTGTCAGGGTGACAAAATTTCTCTTGGAAAAAAATTTCGCTATTTTTTACGTGTTATTGCGGGCCGGATAAAATGACGCAGCGGGCCGGATCCGGCCCGCGGGCCGTAGTTTGGTGACCCCTGTTATAGAGTAATGTTGTTGTTAATACTCTCATTCACTAATGGACCAATTGTTTTGAACTTTTCAGTGGGTAAAGATTGTATTTTTTGCTGAAAATCTGTTACTTTTATTTATTTCAAAATTTTTTGTGAGATCTGATATTTCGCCTAAAATGCGCTGCATAATTTTTAATCAGGGAAACATGTTTTTATGATATCGTAATGCATGTCTTCCACTTTTTATGGCATCGTGTCATTGGTCTGTTGTGACAGATTGCATACCCGTACTACGACGTTTTAAACTTTGTGTCCATGTATTTTTTGTTTTAATAATTCAATACAATTAGTGTGGTGGAATGTGTACTCATGTCTGAATCGCGTAAATCGGTTTAGCAAAGCGAACATAGCATGGGAATATGCACCTGCTTTACGTCAGCGAAAACAAACACATTTTCTCAAATTAGTATAGTTTCGTGTAATTTTATAAAAATAAAAAAAAACACTCACAGATCGTTCGAATTTCATTGCGGTCCAAAAATATGACCGAAAACTGACTTTATTTCGATAGTTAACACTAATCCGAGATCTCAGCCTGTTCTTTCTGATCTTCATTTTCAAAAATAATTATTCGCATGCATATGTATACTTCTAAACATCGATGTGAATTTTTTTCGCATGGTTCGTGAAATTTGGAAAGAGTTTTCTATGAAGAAGATACTTTTTGTGATCAAAATCAAGCAGTGATACATTTTTCGAGTATAATATAGGTTTATTACCTCATTGCAATGCATCTCAAAAAATTCCATTTGAATATTTTCTGCGCCATTGAACCCTTTGCACTTAGCATCAACATTTTTGCATTTTGTTGCCATTTGTCTAATTATAATTAAATTATAAGCTCATTAAACGAGTAATTGTGAATTATATACTCGTATAAGTTTATAACACAATTTAGTCTACACGTGTCTCACAATAAACTCTGTTACGTAAAGAATATAATTGTCAAAACAGATGTTTTGTTATACTATAATTCACTGAAGCGTCGCGGGCCGGATTATATTACTCTTAGGGACGGATCGGGCCCGCGGGCCGTAGGTTGCCGATTCCTGTGGTACAAATACTACGTTCCAGGGTCCACCATCTTGGTTCACAAACTTTCGGAGTACCCAAAAACCATTTGGTCAAACTTTATATGGAATGTTGGATTTATAGAACTTCTTTGTGTATCACTGCCTTAATTGAAACTTATTGGAGGCCCACTAAAAATAATCGGCCCACGATTCCACCGCGGCCCACAGTTAGCTGGTCACTGGGATACAATATATTAATAATAAAAAATAATATATATTTATAATTAGGTAAAATAGAATTTATATGCATTGTCCGAAGATGCATTCATTGTCTTTGGGCAAAAAATAGGTTTGAGAACAAGAAATGATAAGAAATTTTCTGATAAATTCTGATGAAGAATGAATATGATATATATGCTTTTTGTAATATGATATAATACCTCCTAATGATCATAAAGTATGCTAACCAATTCTTAAATTTAATAAAATTGTAAAAATGAGACCTTACATTTTTGTATTTGATGACATATGGCAGGGGTGGCACACCGCGGCTTTTTGTGCGGCTCTTCTCGCTAACATAAATTATTATCCAAATTTTAAGTAAGAGAAAAAATTTGATGAAAACTCTTTTAATTTATTAAAAGTCGTAAAGAAGTTTTCGTCAATAATCAGGACAAATTATGTTTTAGTATGAAAATCGCTGTAGCGTTGAATTTAAGTCAGTCGAGTCCGCAATTCTTTCGCCACAATGGTCAATGTTTATTGATGCGTCGGCGGTATTGCAGCTTGATTGCGGTTAGTTAGTCTGAGTCAGTGTTCTTCAACCTTTTTTATCGTGGTATACCTTTTACAATTTTTCAAGAACTTTGTATACCAAACAAATACCAATGTTTATTTAAGGCTTAAATAAACAACAAACTTTAAGCACATATTGTACTGCAATATCATCATGCAATCTAATAGGCTAGTGACCGCAAGTTATAAATTTGACTGACTGCCTTAGCGTCGACGGGAATAATGTTCGACGTAAATCAAACAAAGTGCATGGCATCCGAAATCATCAACCCAGACACATGTCCGTTTTATCATATAATTTGTGATGTAACAACGTGCTCACGTCGGTTCTTATCGTTAATAACATTTTACATTTCGTGTGCGCCGCGTTTGCATTGTTGTCTCCAATTGAATATTTTATAGGCTGTTCCACTTTTCGTATACCCTTTATCAGTTGTATACCCAACTTATGGTCTGGTATACACTTGGGTATACTGTATACCCGGTTGAAGAGCACTTGTCTAAGTTACTGTGCGATGTGTTCAAAATTAAAAAAAAAACGGAAGTACGAAGATAAAAACAGAGTTGCCAGAGTTGCCTTGTTTATCTATTTATTGTTATTAGACTCTTGTGTGAATTTCTTTTCTGTTCATAGTATTTCGATAATATTAATAAATTTCACAAATTCTGCGGCTCTTTTAAAGTTCTGACTTGCAGCATGCGGCTCTTATACTAAAAAATTGTGCCCTTCCCTGACAAGTGGCATTAGAGTTTGCAACCGCTTTTTATCGTTAAATTACTCTCTGTTAGATTCGTTTCATGCCCAATCCATTATTGACATCTGTCACAGTTTATGAAATCATAATGTCGCATGTCTTGCATACATACAGTCGATATTTCAGTATTTCCACACTTGTCATTCATAAAGAACAATTTCACAGAGTGGATGATACGTTTGTGTTTCGACGTTGAGGAATTCGTTGTTCCCAGGCTGCCAAGCAATTTTGTCGTGACCAAAATCAAGTGTGGGAGAATTTCTATACCAATTATATTTAAATTTTGCTTCTGAATTGTCTTTTAGGTGAATACTTGATGTCTGAAATAAGATAATAAAGTTACAAACACAATTTTTGTAAATGAAAACGATCTTGCAGAGAACCGAGTTCGCTGAACAGATCGGCGGAATTCTGTGACGGAATAAAATGTTTCCATATTTTTTATTTCCAAGTTTTTCCTCTGACTTAGATAAAAAAAAATTTGGGTGAAATACGGGTTTCTGTTGGACTCAGAAAGCATTAAAAAATAAGGGTAACATACATTTACAGGCTTTATCTAGGTGCTGAAAATTTAGTATCAGTAAATTCATTAATCGCGTAAAAATGCTATCTTTTCACATTTACAAGAATTCAGATGAACCATTTTTAGGCCCGCTTTGTATCATACACTTCTTGCAACAAGCGGTTTTGCACTAGCGTGGGAAAAGGGCGAGACAATAATTCCCTTCTGTGATTTCCTATTTTTACAGCAGCTGTTTCTACTATGAATGTGGTATATAGGACAATTATATATACAAATATGATAAAATATTTAGGAATAAAAAAAAAAGAAGGAAATTCTCCAAAAGTCTCGATATAATTTGTTTATGTATACAGTAATTGAATCTTTTATGGTAAATGGTAATATTTTAAATTTATAATTGCATCAGTACAAAAAAGAAAAAAAATCTCACAGAGCGTGCGAATTTCATTGATGTCCAAAAAGATGATCGAAAGCGGACTCCATCTCTGTAGTTTACTATATGTTTCCTCAACCCTTCCAAATGTTCATCACTGTGAATGTCTGCAAGCTTTCCTCCGATTGAAGCACAGATTTCTGCAGCTTGGGAGTGTGAGACTTTATGGTTCATTAGTGGAAGGTAGCATCGACTTGCGTATCCATACGAGCATAATCCTGGATCAGCGAAACAGAAATGAATGTTCAACCATTCGCAAAGTTGCCAAAGCTAAGGTGAATTACTCGAATTAGAATAGGAATAAAAATACATGCCGGTTATGGGCAAGTCAGCAGTTGGATACTTCTAAATAATGTAGATGCCAACTTTGAGTGGAACAAGATAATACACTTTACACTGTTGATAATTCAACACACCTGCAATAATTGATTGTAAAATATCCTTGGTAATCTCTCCGGCTGAGTCGCCTTTTGTACCTTTAGGACCAGTTTGTCCCGACTGGCCTTTAGAGCCTTTCAATCCACTCGGTCCGATTAATCCACGCTGCCCTTTTTCACCCTCTGGACCTATTGGTCCAGTTATACCTGATGCACCTTTTTGACCCTTTGCACCTTTATTTCCGGTTCCACCTTTAGGTCCTTGGGGTCCAGGTTTTTGAACTTGCCTTCCACCCCTACCGATCGCCAATGCCGATATAATACTCATAGCATCGTCTGATAATCCTGCTTTTCTATCTTTACACGTAATTGGATACTCATTTCTGTTGGTTTGTTCTTTAATGTTAAAGTTATGATTGATCCACGACCTTGGAGCCGGATCGCATTGAGCGATGTGGCAACCCTCCTTTAGTTTACAGTCCAATAAATCCTCGCACGAAATAATCGAAACCAAAGTCAGTATAATCACGTTCGTCTTCGAAATAATGCTAATCATTTTGAATCTGCCAATCTGCCAAGTTTAAAATATAAATTTAACCTAATAGGTATTAACATGCTCCATTTATGCCTAATTTATGTTTTCTCGCCTATTCATTTTGCAAACAACGCCAAACTTTGTCACCCATTCCTCACCACTTTTTTAAAAAATATGTCAGCCTCCCATATACAGCTATACAGCACAATATGCCTCGGGGAACAATATGTCAGCCTCCCATATACAGCTATACAGCACAATATGCCTCGGGGAACAAAAACATCAAAGTCTATTTATAAACAGAAAATCTTTCAATTCAATGACTGAATTATAGAGATAAAACTTACGGATTACTTCACAGAGTCTTTAAATATACCATAACCATAGGTATAGTATTTGTAGAAAAGTTTTGTTATGAAAATTGTAAAATTTCACGGTGTGGTTTTGTATGCTCTATAGTCTATACTAGCAGTGGTTCTCAACCTTTTTCAGTTCGCCCGGACCGGTAAAATTTTAAAACAAATTTTGCCAGATTAGATAAAATTAAGTAAAAAAAATTTTGCTTTCGTTATGCTAGAACTGAGTGGTCTAAGATTGTCGGCTCCGGAGGCCATGAAATTATTTTAGCATTGTTCGCAGGCCGCAATAGTGCTGGGAATAGCAAAACCTACAATACAAAACAACCACTTTTATTGTGCAAACACATTGATCAGTGTTTATCAAGCAAAAACCAGCAGAAGTCTTTCTATATTTAAATTTAGAGTAAGATTTCAAACTCTTTATAACAGAAAAAAGGCTTCCGCAAATTTAAGTGCTTTTGAACATCGATAAGATTTTCAAAGCCAAATCTTAACTCTGTAAAATGCTCATGGCTCACAAGATTCTAAAATGGCGTTTTTATTTTCTTGACACCGACACAACTTGCCAACATATCATTCAAGCATTGTGGTATCTTGCCTCTCACATTCAGTTTAAAATCTGTTTGAATTCGTCAGCTTTTTTTTCGAACTCATGTTTACAAAATAACTCCAGATAGATTTATTACCAAATATGAGGTACAGGAGGGTAATTACTAATTTTTTGACACCAAGGCGGCATTTTTTGTAATACTGCTGGTTGCAAAAACACCCGGTATGAATTATATTGTTAGGCCATAACATTAATATTTAGTTATCACACATAGCCAACCTAGGCTAATAAAATCCGCATTCGATTTTTAGTTTTTTATGATGCCAAAATTGTTAGCTTATATTCCCGACTAAACCGGTAGAAAACCAGATAACAATTTAGACTTCCAAGCACATCATTCAACTTCCCTGGTTGCACAAATTAATAAACGAAAACCCGCTGACTAGCTGAAAAGGTTAAGTATTACAAGAAAGTTTTATCGATCATTTTCGGTGCCGTTTGGACAAAAATGGGCCAAATTATTACTGAAAAAATCAGAAGTTAGGCATTTTTGCGATACTTGGCGACCAAAACAAATTCCACATTCTAACTTTCAAATTTTGGTCGCTTGTGTGCGCTTGTTTGACAGAAATTAGACGACCCTGGAAAATCGTCACGCGACCCCCATTTTGGAAACCACAGCTCTAAAGCAGTGGTTCTCAAAATTTTTCAGTTCGCGGACCGGTAAAATTTTAAAACAAATTTTGCGGACCTTCAAAATTAACCAATAATGAACACAAAGTATAATCAAAAAAATGCAATTACGACAGAAGTAGGCGGTGCAAAAGAGACAATCCGATTTAATGAGAAATTTACTGCTTTGTTTTTGATATTGTACGTGTTAAACGTAGTTCTAATGAAGTTTCTGCAAGGCGAAGTAGAGCGTTGACTCCCAAACGATTTCTCTGTTTGGTCTTGATGAGAGTTAACAATGAAAAGCTTTTCTCATAGAGGTAAGTTGTAACAATAACCAGCAGTAATTAAATGGCTCTGTCACTGAGCTCGGGATATTCGTTTTCAAGATATATCCAAAACTGTGACAATGTGAAAGCTCAATCATCGATTCTTTCTCAACAGTGTTAAGATTGCACGAATTAATGTTCTTTGCAGAAGGATGAACAATCCAAAAGTTTTGTGACGAGGATCCACCTTTTCTCAAATTATATATAGGCCTACTGTCAAATTACTAAACGTCCTAACTTCGAGGTTTTCAATTAGGTACCGTACTATGTGATATCAAAAACCTCCGTTATGACGTTAGCCGCCGTTATGAGGTCACTCACCAATCATTGCTACTAAATTCGAAGTTCTATCCGGTGTTCTATAGTCATTTACAATATTTTGACTTCGGTCTGCATTGTGCATGATTGCCACCAGGTAAATTCATGTTGATAATAATTGAAGCACAACCGGTGTTAGCAAAACGATGTAATTTGCCGACGTTTCGAATTTCTATACAGAAAAACTTCATCATGGCATGATATGGAAAGGACTTGTATAGGACATATATATCCATTTGTGTCCTTTCCATATCATGCCCTGATGAAGTTTTTCTGTATAGAAATTCGAAACAACGGATGTTTAACGGATGGTATCCGTTTAACGAAACTCGGTGACAAAGCAAGGTCACACGTACTCACTCAGAAATTTGATTGGTCGATTTCAAATCCCATTATTTTTAAACAATTCATGCTCAACGAATTTGAAACATCCTGTAAAATAACCTTAACTATAAGAACGGGGAGTTTTTTTTGTAAAGTGTAATCGGTAAAGTAAAATCGGTTTTGCGCTCGCTAAGCCTTGTGGCCCCTCCAACAAACTGCTCTATGGGCCCCCCTTGAGAGGACGGGCGATAGATTATACTGTAGAATTATGCGCTAGTAAATATCGACTAAACGTGAGACCTAAAACATTTAGGCAATACCAGCAATGAGGTATTGAGGAACACATAACTGGAGTTCTTGAGAAAAAAAAACATTTTTCAGTCCAATAGGTACACGGACTGTAAACGAATGAGAGTTCGAAGCCGAACTCGTATGATGACTGGAATATCTTTTGGAGAGACAAGTTCAGAAAAACACAGTTGATCACAATACGTTTAAAATAAGCACAGCGACACGACATTTCGTCTATGGGAAGGGTTTGCAGTTCGGGCGCTAATTGGAAGATAATCATATTGGGTATTCTTTATTGCATTCGTTGTATAAGATTATATTATTGCATCCTAATATTGTGTTGAACTTGGATGAACCTAATACACGTGCTTTCATGGAGGGTAAAATAGCGCATACTCAACGACAGTAAAACTGATACCATACAGCAGTCTTTCTTAACCTGGGTTCGATCGAACCCCTGCGGTTCGGTGGAGCTTTTCCAGGGTTTCGACGAAGGTTCTCTGAAATAATTTTACGCTATGGAGTCTTTCCATTACCCATCTCTGTACTTCTGTAACACTATATTTCACCGCGGATATCCAAACTTCCACGTTCAACGAAACCTTTTTGTATCGCCACAGTTGTCGCACGCTATGTGTACCTCTGTATGATAGCATTATAGAATGCTTTCTGCATATGGAAATATCTCTGGTTGTTATGACAAACCTCGTTCATTCTTTTTTTTAATTCGGTCTAGGAGATTATATATTTGAATCACAATATTGTGTTAAACTTGGGTGAACCTGAAACAGGGAAACGTGTACCTTCATAAATGGTTGAATAGCGCATACTCAACGAGAGTTAATAAACTGATACCATTGCTCTACCTACAGCAAGCTTCATCAAGTTGGATTCGTAAAATTCTTGTAGGTCTGGAAAACGTGCCATGTAAAATGGAAGCCAGACAATAGATAAACATAAAAATAAAAAAAAACATTGATTAGGTTGACAGATAAACTAGTTTTCGAATGACACTGTAACCGGTCAAAATTGAGTTTCATTATAATAGAGTTCAAAATCAGGAGCCCGTGACGAAAATTGTGATAGAAACTAACTCAAAAATGTCAAAAAAAGTGTTGTTAGCAAATTATTTTCTTGTTTTAATGATATCTGCGATATAAATATTATTAGCACTTTTTTAATTTGTCCGTTTTGCACGACGACTAAACTCGTAACGACAATACCTCTGTTTGTTTTGATGTGGAGTGGCTTTTATTTCTAGTTTCTTCCCATGATCTAAAATCTCATGGACTATTTGAATAGTTATTGTTACACAGTTTCACCCCTTTAGAATATCTTGATAATGGTTTTGCAATATAATACCTAAGATATCATGACAAGAATGGCCCATGTTTTACTAGATCTTATTCGAAGTAGAAATGTAAAGTTAATTGAAATTAGCCTAAAATACGGATATATATACAACAAGTATTTGTTCTCCCTGAAGTATCTAAAAAACGTGTACGTTACGTATTTACAATATGTTTATAATAATAGGGAGGTAGTTGCTGCCAGTTGGTTTCTACGCTCGTTTGGATAGATAAAATATTGGATATACTTCCAAATTATTTGAATAAAAACGACTACGCTATCTTAGTACCTAAATTCGCTGTCGATATTTGGGATATGGTCAGCGCACTACTGTAGTTTCACTAAAGAGCTACGGCGCCAAATATTGTGCGTCATTTAAAGTATAATGGCACTCCACAACTGTTAGAAACACTTATCATTAGGGTTGTTCAGATACTTCAGTGTGGATAAGACTGAGTTTTGGAATGATATAGTAGACTCATTTAAAACGGTAATCTGGGATATGGTTATGAAATACAGTTTGCGATAAATTATTACTAGTAAGTGCACCAGGTGTAAGTATACAATGTAGCCTAAATGACTTTTGGTAGCATCATTCATCGCCTAGGTTAGGTTGAGCAACTGAAATTTAAAATTGGGCATTTTTGACATTTAAATATTGAGCTTGGAAACTCATTGGATATTTGAAGTCTTGATTTTAAACATACTTTTAAGTTGACGCAATGGCCGTGATCTAAACAAAGATGTGCCTCCTACCTTACGAAAAATAAAGCTACAATAAATCGGTCATAAAGGAATTATCAAGTACTTGTACCGAATTGTTGTTTTAACATTTTGAATATGAGTACTACTAGTATAATCAAAACAACGGTAGAAGCGGAACTGAGAATTACTTTATTCAAATTAACTAATATAGTTATAGAATGCTTTTCCTTTGTATGACCGGATATAATCTTGTTGTGATT